ATGGTTTGAGGTGTGTATACTTCAATGCTAAAGTATCAGAAATAAAGCGGATGAACTTAGAGCATGGGTTGGTACTTGGAACTACAATGTTGTGGCCATTACAGAAACTTGGGTAACTCAGGGAGAGGAATGATTGTTGGAAGTTCCGGGATTTAGATGCTTTAAAAGAAATGGGGAGGGTGGAGAAAGAGGCGGGGGAGTGGCATTGCTAGTCAGGGCGAGTATAGCAGCTACTGAAAGGCAGTTCGAGAATGAGATGTCTACAGAGTCAATTTGGGTTGAGGTCAGGAACAAGAAAGGAGCAGTCACTTTGGGGGTTTTTTACAGAGCCCCAAATAGTTGCAGAGAAGTAGAGGAGCGGATTGGGAGGCAGATGCTGGAAAGGTGCAGAAGTCACAGGGTTGACTTCAACTTTCCAAATATTGGTTGGAAACATTTTAGTTCTAATAGTTTAGATGGAGCAGATTTTGTCCAGTACGTTCAGGAAGGATTCCTGACGCAGTATGTAGATAGACCAACACGAGGAGAGGCCACTTTGGATTTGGTGCTTGGCAACGAACCGGGCCAAGTGTTAGACCTGTTGGTAGGAGAGCATTTTGGCGGTAGCGATCATAACTCTGTTTCTTTCACGATAGTCATGGATAAGGATAGGTACATATGGCAGGGTAAAGTTTACAATTGGGGGAAGGGTAGTTACAATTCAGTTAGGCAAGAACTAGGGAACATAAATTGGGAACAGATGCTGTCAGGGAAGAGCACCACAGAAATGTGGAGATTGTTTAAGGAATGCATACTGCATGTGCTCGATAGGTTTGTCCCTAGCAGGCAGAGAAGATGCAGTCGAGTGAGGGAGCCATGGTTCTCGAGAGAGGTCGAACGACTGGTTAAGAGGAAGGAGGAGGCTTATGTAAGGTTTAGGAAAAGAGGAACGGAAAAGGCTCTCGAGGAATACAAGTTAGCCAGGAAGGTGCTGAAGAAAGGGCTTAGGAGAGCTATAAGGGGGCATGAGAAAACCTTGGTGGATAGGATCAAGGAAAACTCCAAGGCTTTTTACACGTATGTATAGAACAAGAGAATGACCAGAGAAAGGATAGGGCCGATCAAGGATTGTAAAGGGAATTTGTGAACAGAGCCTAAAGAGATAGGAGAGGTCCTTAATGAATACTTTTCTTCAGCATTCACAGCTGAGAGGGACCTAGTTGTAGAGGAGGACGTTGTGAAACAGGCAGGTAGGTTAGAGGAGGTTGATGTTAGTAAAGAAGATGTGCTAGGAATTCTGAAGAAGTTGAAGATAGATAAGTCCCCTGGGCCTGATGGGATTTATCCAAGGATTCTATGGGAAGCGAGGGACGAGATCGCAGGGCCTTTGGCGATGATCTTTTCGTCCTCACTGTCCCACGGGTATAGTGCCGGAAGATTGGAAAGAGGCAAACGTCATTCCCTTGTTCAAAAAAGGGAACAGGGATAACCCTGGAAATTACAGGCCAGTTAGTCTTATGTCAGTGTGGGCAAATTATTGGAAAGGGCTCTGAGAGACAGGATTTATGATCACTTGGAAAGGCACGGTTTGATTCGTGATAGTCAGCATGGATTTGTGAGGGGTAGATCATGCCTCTCAAACCTTATTAAATTCTTTGAAGAGGTGACCAAACACGTGGATGAAGGTGGAGCAGTGGATGTGGTATACATGGATTTCAGTAAGGCGTTTGATAAAGTTCCCCATGGTAGGCTCATGCAGAAAGTAAGGAGGCATGGGATAGGGGGAAATGTGGCAGATTGGATTCAGAATTGGCTGACCCTTAGAAGACAAAGGGTGGTAGTGGACGGAAAATATTCAACATGGTGCTCGGTTACGAGTGGTGTACCATAAAGATCTGTTCTGGGTCCTTTTCTATTTGTGATTTTTGTAAATGATTTGGATGAAGGAGTGGAAGGGTGGATTAGCAAGTTCGCGGACGATACGAAGGTGGGTCACGTTGTGGACAGTGCGGAGGGCTGTTCTAGGTTACAAAGGGCCGTTGATAGAATGCAGAGCTGGGCTGAGAAGTGGCAGATGGAGTTTAACCCTGAAAAGTGTGAGGTGATTCATTTTGGAAGGACAAACTTGAAAGCAGAATACAGGGTTAACGGAAAGATTCTTGGCAGTGTGGAGGAGCAGAGGGATCTTGGGGTTCTTGTTCACAGTTCCCTGAGAGCTGCCACCCGGATGGATAGTTGTTAAGAAGGCGTATGGTGTGTTCGCTTTCATTTAATAGAGGGATTGACTTCAAGAACCATGAAGTTACGCTCCAGCTATACAAAAGCCTGGTTCGGCCACATCTGGAGTAGTGCGTCCAGTTCTGGTCACCACCTTAAAGGAAAGATGTGGAAGCGTTAGAAAAGGTGCAGAGGAGATTTACCAGGATGTTGCCTGGAATGGAGGGAAGGTCTTACGAGGAAAGGTTGAGAGAGCTGGGGCTTTTCTCTTTAGAATGACGAAGGATGAGAGGTGACTTGATAGAGGTGTACAAAATGATCAGAGGTATAGATAGTGGACAGCCAGAGACTTTTTCCTAGGGTGGAGGTAGCTTTTACGAGGGGACATAATTTTAAAGTGAAAGGAGGCAGATATCGGGGAGGCATCAGAGGTAGGTTCTTTACTCAGAGTGGTAGGGGTGTGGAATGCATTGCCAGAGAGGGTAGTGGGGTCGGCCTCATTAGGGGCATTTAAGCAGCTATTAGATAGGCATATAGATGATAGTATAAGGTAGCAGTGGAGGTTAGATAGACCTTAGGATTAGGGTAAAAGTTCGGCACAACATCGTGGACCGAAGGGCCTGTACTGTTCTATGTTCTATTAATTCCTACCTCTGTCATGTTTCTTCTGTTTTTTAACGTGTACATCATCCTGCATGTATGTTCTGGCTTCACCACATTGGCACCTCTGTTTCAGGTATGCCAGGCGCTGGCTTCTAGCAAGCTCTACTTTATTAACCAGACTTGCTCCCTTAGCTTGATAGTAATGGTCAAGTGAGTTTTACAGATTGTGATTTGAGGACAGTTGTGCAACTAATGATAGGAAGTGCCTCATGGATGCCTAATTTTAAGCTACCAGATTTGTTCAACCTCGTTCTCAGATCCATTACATTTAATGCAATGGTAGAGTTGCATACAAGCATCCTTGAAACCAACTTCTCCATTTAGGCAAAACTGTTGCAAAATCAACTTTTGATAGACTGGAAAGCTGACTGAATGGCTGAAAGCCATCTTTTCCCCAGTAATCCTGTTTGCTCAACACTCAAATGGCCAACATTCCAGGGAAGACACAGAAATCACTTCAAAGGTACCCAACTTTCCTTGAAGCATGGCAGTATTGGCCTTGACAGGAATTTTCTATCAAAGCATTCGGAATCACGACAGCTGGTCAATGAAGTTGCAGCATATTTTGAGTCCTAGTGTCTCAACAAGACAGAGCAGAAACAGATGCAAATGCTGCACTCAAGATCCCTCTTACCTTGCTGGGCATCCTGTTCCATTTTCCCAAAGATCTGCTGGTGGAGAATCAGGCCTTTTCAGCTAGATGAAAATGCAGGACAGAAACTCAACTCAAGGTAAAGCCATTCCCCATAAGGAATCACGTGGCACATGAATAATTTGTATGCAGGAATATTTAAGATCCAATCCTGCCCTCCTTTGACCCAGATCTCAGCTACAAGCCATAACATCGTATTTCTATTTGGTAATCTGTGCCTGTTACTCACCAATCTTATTTACCAGACTGGCTACATTCACATGGATGTACAGTTTATCGCCAGCTTTTGTGGTGGAATTTGAGCTTGTAATCCAGAGATCCGATTAATGCTGTGGACAAAATCCAGTTTGATAGCTACTGACAATGCTACTGTCTCTGTTAATGGATAGTGAGTTAATCTGAAGCCATGTCATTTTTGTAGGAATAGATCAATGGTTGAGAGAGGAGATAGTGGGGTTTGGTAACTTGGATTAAGACTGTTCCTTCTGTAGGGAAAAAGCACCAACATGCACTAGTTAGGCCAATGTGTCCATTTCTGCATTGTAACTTCTGTGTATTAAAAATTATATCAAGAAACATAAACTTGGCTTGAGAGAGATCTGGTATCGGTACTAAATCAGCAGGAGCAAGGAAGGGAACTGTTTATATTTTTCAAATGATTGTGTTTGAATAGCATGCATGACAAAACTACTTATTCCTGACAGAGAAGAGGTTAGGAATCATTTTTCCCAGAGGTTTGTTTAGGTTCAGAATGCTTTACTTACCTTCTCAAATCTTTTAAAAATTGCAACTATAGTGATGATTTGCCAACTATCTGAAATGATCAGTAATGATGCAGTATAGGCAGGGGTTCTCACTCAAAAAACAAAGAATTAGAAATTTCCTAAAATGGCACTTACTTGGAAAAAAATCTTTCTTCTTCATTCGATCAAAATTTTGAAACCACCAACTTGCCAGCAATGTTGGTGTGCTTATGTCTTGTGCACAGCAGTTATTCGAGAAGGTGGCACACCACCATCTCTCAGGTAATCTAGCCTTATCAGCAAGATCCAAATGAAAAGCATGAATGAAGGAATGAAAGGCATTGAAATAGTTTTAGAATGGATCCAGCTGAAGAACCAGCATTGACACAGACCTAAAGAGCTGCATGTAATTCTGCACATGTAAATTATGTACTTATATAATTTTAATTTCTACAAAATTGCTACATTTATACCTTGTCTAAACAGAAGGGCATAAATGTACTCAGTCTGTTAAGTACATGTTTGACAGCACAAACCTTTTTAGTTCTAGGATGCATTTTCTTGCAAGTCGGATTTAGTTGAAGTTAACTATACAAAATGGATGAAGATATCATGGAAGGAAAGTGCACAACATGGAAGTGTTTAATTTTCATGCTAACCAGTTAAAGTTTGACAGTTTTGATCAAGAGATGAGCTGAAGTTGGTAAGAAACCATTTAACCCAGTATTTCCTATCTTTTTAAACAGAACCAAATCCTCCTATTGACGAAGTGATCAACACACAAGGAGTAGTGGAAAGATTTGTAGAATTCCTCAAAAGGAGAGAAAATTGTACATTACAGGTAATCTCACCACACTGATATCTACGTTTGTACTTTTTTGTCAGTGTTATTCCTCATGAGCTAGTGCACCGATTTCTGAAAATTGTACCTCTGATCAGCTCGTGGTGTGAAAAAATGCAAATTTTAGTTCTTCAACTTCAGAAACCACTAAACAGTTGTACAGTTGTTCTACACTATCAAATTGAATTTCATCTCTGCAACAGATTCGGTGGAATATAATGGACAGGTATAAAAGACTTCGCATTTGTGAAATGAACAACAGTTGATTTGTAGGCCTCCAAGAGTTTTTTTGGACTTTGTGTTTTTATTCATTTGTGGCCTATGGACATCACTGGCAAGGCTAGTAATTGTTTTCTGTTCTTGAATTTACTTTGTGGCTTTGCCTGTTATTTGCATAGAATAATGAAATAGGTGTAATTAATGCTGGCCCAATTATTCTGTGGGTATTCTCCATATTGTAGCAAACCATTTCACATACATTTCAGTTCCTGGAATGCTGCTGTTTAAAGCACGACAATTTTCTATTTGTTTCCTTAAATCCTAGCGTTTTAGTGAGAGCAATTCTTAAAACTACTTTAACAATTATATCCGATTATTCATGAATGTGGTGCAGTGATTTTTCTTTGGCTGCCTTCCAAAAACAGTTTCCTGTTTCAGGTGGAATGAAATCTGCATTAGTGAGCAAGAATGTCATTTATGCAAGTACACAGGAGAACTATTTCCAATCTTGAAGTTACATTTATTCTACGAGTGAAACTTAATAAAAGTTGCTAGTGAGCTGCTAAATCTAAATCACACATTAGTATTTCAGAGCACAAAAAGTCAGTCCCTGTTTTACATCATCAGCTTGACGATATATTTGAAAGTTAATTGTATAACAATTACTTTAAAATTATTTTGTGAAGTCTCCTCATTTTACTCCCGCTTGCACTTTTTTCTCACGTTTATGTTCCATTTGTCATTGCTAAGATCTAAGATTTGTGAACAAGAAAATGTGTTTTAACAGCTGTTTTATTTTCTGTGGGTCCTGTAGAACTTTGAAAGAAAATTATGTATTTTTTTCACAATTATGCTGTTTATATGGAGATCCATCGTTTTCAACTTTTATTACTTGTCTTTAAGTTCCAATCAGAAAAATGATTCTCCACTTGAGAAAATTTTCATTGCTTTGAACTTGACTGGCAAATATTGATACCAGTGTAAATCATCTGCAATTGTAATTTTCTTTGCTCAATTTAGTTTGAAGCAGCATGGGTTCTGACAAATATTGCATCAGGAAGCTCATTACAGACCCGTGAAGTAATCAAAGCTGGTGCTGTGCCTGTCTTTATTGAATTACTAGCGTCAGATTTTGAAGATGTGCAAGAACAGGTAACTGTCAGTTTACTGTTAATAATCTTTTGTCTTAATATCAGTGAATTTACATATTTTTCAAGTGATTTAAAAGGGTTATCAATTCATCAAGAAAAGGAGCTAATTTGAATTTGAGTCATTGGAATAATTCTTAATGATTCATTTTGGACTAATTTTAAAAATTAATGGAAATAAAGTATGCTACTGAGATCTCTGCAACACTGGAAAGTTTATGTTTATGCTACTTTTGACTTTTTTCTTTGTTAATATTGATTATTTTTTATACGGATATACCACGTGAACTTACTCAGAAGATATTTACAGGATTCCTGCGTTTTACAGGATGTCTATGAATAACAGATGGGAAGGAAATTTAATGCTGCTGAATAGAGATTCTGATAATTTAATTTGGTGAAATATCCATTTAATGTTTTAGAATCTTGTAAGTTAACTGCTGATTCACCCAAGTTCATTTGAAGAAATAAACTGTTTCTGGTCGTGGCTGTTTCATGTCTTCAACTAAATTTTCACTTTCCATAGAGAATCATGGGAGATAAACTAATGGTATTTCAAGAAGTCATCCTAATGAATTGGGTGTGCTGATAGATATTTGCAGCTAAAATGGACCCTTTTAAAGGGCTGTCACTGTCCAAAAAGTTTATTTCTTTGGTTGTAAATATGTAGAATCACATGATATCAGGGACATTCTCAAACTGTTTTGCATAAATTTGAAGGCAGCTTTACATAAATCATATGACAGAGCACTGTACTAACTCACAGTTGAGTGCTTATGGGATATTTGTGTAAGACCATAAGAACGCTATTCAGCCTATTGAGTCCGCTGGACCTTTGAATGAATGAGATCATGGGTGATCTGAAACTGTTTAATAAAAAAATCAAAGAACGACAAATGCTGGTAATCAGAAACAAAAACAAATTGCTGGAAAGCTCAGGTCTAGAAGCATCTGTGGAGAGAAAGCAGAGTTAACATTTTGGGTCCAGTAACCCCCCTTCATAACAGGATAATCCTCAGCTCCACTTTCCTGTCTTTACCCTATAACCCTTGATTCCTTTACTGATTTTAAAAATCTGTCCATTCCAGTCTTTAATATAGTTAACGATCCAGCCTGAACAGCCCTCTGTGGGTTTTTTTTTAAAATTACACAGATTCACAACCTTGAGTGAAGGAATTCCTCCTCACCAGTCATAAATATGGAACCCCTTATTCTGAGATTATGCCTTCTGCTCCACAAGGGGAAACAACAGAAAAGGTTGGGGGGCAATGACTTTGTTACAGCTAAACCAGAAACTGGGGTAATGCACTGGGGACCTGGTTTAAAAATGCCATTTTGATAGATGGAATTTAAATTCCATTTTTTAAAAAGAAGTCTGGGATTGAGAGTGTAATGATAACCATGAAATCCTTGCTGATTGTCAGGAAAAACCCATCTGGTTCACTCATGTCCTTTAGGGAAGGAAAGCTACCATCTCTACGTGGTCTGACCTACATGTGACTTCAGACTCACAGCAATGTGGTTGAATCTGAAGAGCAACAAATACTGGCCTGGCCAGTGACATCCACGTCGCATGAATGATTGGTTTTTTTTTTTTTTTTTAAATGTTCTGCGCCTACCCTGTCAAGACCCCTAAGAATCTTGTATTTTCAATAAGATCGCCTGTTATTTGTCTATATTTCAAAAAGCACAGGCCCCAGCTTCTCAACCTCTCTGCATAACACAGTCCATCCATACCTGGTATCAGCCGAGTTAACCTTCTCCAGACTGCTTTCAATGCCAGTATGCCTTTCCTTGGGTAAGGGACCTAAAACTGTTCACAGTATTCCAGCTGTGGTCTGACTAGTGCCCTGTATGGTTTTTAGCAAATCTCTCTACTTTAATACTCCATTCCCTTTGAAATAAAGTCTGATATTTCATTTGCTTTCCCTGTTAGCCACTGAACCTGCTAGCTATTCTTGAGATTGATGGACAAGGACTCCTAATTCCCTCAGACTGCAGAAAGCTTCAGAATATTCTGTATTAAATAACCTGTTCATTCATTAGATATGTTTAGAGGTGTAAGTAAGCACATTGATATTAATGGCAACAAGGTTCTGAATTGTAGACTAATTAGTAAAGTTAGGTCACATGGAATTCAGGATGAGCTTGCCAATTGGATACATAATTGGCTTAATGGCAGGAGACAGTGGTGGTGGAGGGTTACTTTTTGGACTTGGGGCTGTCACCAGCAGTGTTCCACAGGGATCGGTTTAGGGTCCTCTTTCATTGTCATTTACATAAATGATTTGAACGAGAATAAAGAAGGCACAGTTGTAGGTTTGTGGACGACACCATAATTGGTGGCAAAGTCGACAGTGAAGAAGGTTTTCTGTCTTTAAAAAGGGATCTTGATTAAATGGGTCAATGGGCTGAAAAATGACAGATGGGCTTCAATCTGGATAAATGAGGCATTGCATTTTTGGTAGTAATATTTAATAGTAAGACCTTGGGTAGTGTTTCAGAACAAAGGGACCTAGGGGCTTAGGTACATAATTCTTTTGAGGTTTGTGTCACGCGTAGACAAGGTGATCAAAAAGGCGCTTGGCGCGCTTGCCTTCATTGCTCAGTCCTTTTGAGTATAGGATTTGGGAAATCATGTTGAAGTTGTACAGGACACTGGTGAGGTCTCTTCTGGAGTATTGTCTACAGTTCTAGTTACTCAGTTCATAGAATTGTAGAATCCCCACAGTGTGAAAACAGGCCACTTGGCCCAACAAGTCCACACTGACCTTCCAAAGAGCATCCCACCCAGACCCATTACCTCCCACCCTCTCCCTGTAACCCTGCATTTCCCAAGGCTAACATATCTAATCTACACACCCCTGAACACTATGCACAATTTAGCATGGCCAATCCACCAAACCTGAATATTTTTGGACTGTGGGAGGAAACTAGAGCACCCGGTGGAAACCCACACAGAACGGGGAGAATGTGCAGACTCCACACAGTTGTCCAAGGGTGGTATGGAGCCCAGGGCCCTGGTGCTGTGAGGCAGTAGTGCTCACCACTGAGCCACTGTGCTGCCCTATGGAATCCATACGGTGTGGAAGCAGGCAATTCAGCCCAACGAGTCCACACCGATCCTCTGAGCGTCCTCATCCCTGTACATCCCATGGCTAATACCCCTCGCTGAACACCACTGGGTAATTTAGCGTGGCCAGTCCACCTAACTAGCACATCTTTGGACTGTGGGAGGAATCCAGGGCACTCAACAGAAACTCACGCAGGCACAGAAAGAACTTGCAAACTCCATGCAGACAGTTTCCTGAGGGTGGAATCAAACCTTGGTCCCTGGCACTGAGGCAGCAGTGCTAACCACTGTGCCACCTTCAGGAAGGATATATTAAGCTGGAGAGGGTTCGGAAGAGATGTACCAGGATGTTGCCAAGAACGGGGAGTTTGAGTTATAAGGAGAGGCTGGATGGGCTGGGAAGTATTTTTTTTCCACTGGCGCATACGAGGTTAAGAGGTGACATTTTAGAAGTTCATAAAACCATGAGGGGTATACGTAGGGTTAACGGTAGCTGTCTTTCCCCTAGGATGGGGGATTTCACGACTAAGGGGTACGTTTTTAAGGTGAGAGGAGAGAAATTTTAAACGTGAGGGACAAATGTTTTTTTACAGAAGGTGGTTTGTGTGTGGAATGAACATCCTGAGGAAGTGGTGGATGTGGGTACAATTACAACATTTGAAAGACATTTGGATAAGTATGTGAATAGAAAAGGCTTGGAGGATATGGGCTAGGAGCAGACATGTGGGACTGGTTTAGTTTGGGATTGTGTTCAGCATGGACTAGTTGGACTGAAGGGTCTGTTTCCGTGCTGTATGACTCTGGTTCCAGAGGCTCATTTCATTATCTTGAATGTGCTATGATTTTGAGATATTAAAGATATCAAGGAATCTGGGAGAATATGGAAAAATGGCATTGAAATAAAAGACCATTTGTCATTTAGTTGAATAGTGGAGCAGGCTCAAGGGCATACTCTTGTTCCTATTTCCTGTTTCCATGAGCAACCTTGTTCTTTTAATTACTAACCAGTTGTCATTGCAGGGGCACTATTGCATGCATCTTCCAGGTGAACCTTTTGAATAGTCAGTGATTTTTAAATAAGTGTTTATTCAGAGCTCTTGTATTTGCTGCCTAAGAGTCAGTCAAACATAACATCCGAGATTTCTTGTTGCTCACTGTTTTTTAATTGCAGGCAATCTGGGCCCTTGGCAACATTGCAGGGGACAGCACTGTGTGCAGGGATTATGTGTTAGACTGTAATATACTGCCTCCTCTCATTCAGTAAGTTTTATTTTACATTTTAAAATGTGTTTAAAGTATACTAGAAAAGCAGCCATGCTTTTGTCACATCTTGGGATACACCGAATACATATCAAATTTAATTCCTTTTTAGATATTGACCTCTTCAATTTTTATTAAACTTGTATTTGTCAGGTTAGAAGTTACCTACACGGAGCTTCTCTAGTTTTTGTCCTTTTATCCCTTAAAGGCACTGACATGCTTCTATTTTTATTTCTATTTGATTTCACGGGTGTCAATGCTCTCTAGTGTTCCATCGGTTGACTAATTTCTATTTCACATGTATGCCAAGCTGGAGAGTGTTAATAAGCTATTTGACGAAGTAGTATGTTACAACTAAGCCTAATTCTGTCCTCCATTGTCCAAGTGAAGACTTTCAGGCAGGGCGCTCAGGAAAGAAATAAAGTGGATGTCATCCTAATGTACATTCTCTAAATGCTAGGCCAGTGATGTTGTCACTTGTAGGAATTGGCCGTTCCTCATCACTGCACAATTGAGTCAAAATCCAGACTACAGTTTCGAATAAGAATTAGAACAAGCAGTTTTACTAGACTCCATTCAGTGTATGGCATCGTGTTAAACTCAAGCACACATCTCAGAATTAGCCTTAGGATGTTATAGACAAAATCCAGTCCGTGCTTTTGATGAATCTAATGTGTTTTCAATTGCACCTTTCTGATCACTGGTCAGAGTCAAGATTTCAGTCTCTGTCTCTTGTAGCACTGATTCTTAGTCAACTTTGTTTCCCCTGATCAATTCGGCAATCTTTCTAGAAGTATTTAAATAATGATTACCATGTGTTCTGATTTTTAAAAATTAAAAACTTTTTAGATGAACATTTCTGTGCTTTAATTAAGCTTATTTTTAATCTTCATTATCTGTATTTTAAATGTTTAGGCTGCTATCAAAACCTAATCGATTGACAATGACGAGGAATGCTGTTTGGGCATTGTCAAACCTGTGTAGAGGGAAGAATCCTCCTCCAGAATTTTCAAAGGTAGTATCCATCCAGTGGAGCTACAGTATACGAAGTGTGTTCTTTTAGGAATGTAAAATATACATTAGAGAACAAAGTTTATGGAGTTGAAACAGTGATACTGTTGTGTAAATGGCTTATATCTATTGTATGCTTGTCAAAATCCACTGATTAGTAGCCTTCTACTGCTATTTTAAGGAGTAATTTTGCAAATGTGCAAGATATCAATGCAGAGCACTCTTAAAGAATGAAAGGTAAAATCGATCATTAGCACAAATTGTTGGTATACATGTGCAGTGCCGAGAGATAATGTACCAGCCCATACCGAAAGCTCACCCTGTGATTAAATTTTGAACCTTTTATGGGACAAGATTCTCCAAAGGAAAGTCGATGAATGCAATAACTTGACTTATGAATCAAAACAGTCATTTCTGATGATCATCGACTTTTCTGCCTCTGCTTTTATGTTGTGAAATGGTAAAAAAGTGAAATTTGAATATTTTTTAATAGTTAAGTAGTTTTGAGGGAGTTTGTTTCTGAGCTTTAGCAAACAAGACCATGGAGTGTCATCGCATAATTGATCCTACAATAGCACAAAAGCAGCACTTGTAAATTATACTGGAAATCTGAAATCAAAATAGAATAGAGTATTTCCAACATCAGGCAGCATCAGAAAAAATTTTAACATTTTCAAGTTGACAACCTTGAAGCTGCTAATACCAGGGTTTCACCTGCAGTGTAGGAGGGATCACTGAATGAAATCCATACTTTCCCAATGAGAGAGGGAAGTAAAATTGGATGCATCTGCTGTACTCAACAACTGGCCAGTAAGTGACATCAGACTTGGGAATCAATGTTACTGGGTAAATCAAAATCACTGGTTAATATAGTGTACTTGCATAGACAATTAAAAGAAGCACATTTTAAAAAGCCCTGTCTTTTTAAGGTTAGAGAATCAATAACCCAGTGATGCTATTATAGAATGTGTTTTGATGGTCATGAAAACACAATTATATTGGAGTGCAGTGAAGAGAAAAGTTGAATAATATGTTTCATGAATTCAATACTCATTACCTAAATACTTGATTTATTTTGAAGCACACTACTATATACGTTTTTGTAAAATATTCTATTATATAGCCAGGTAACAAAATTTGGCAATTCACCCAAAATACACGAGTTTTACTAGAGAACATTACATTTAGAGTGGCTAAAATGTTTTAAAATAAATTAGAAAGCTATCACAGATTTGTGCCAGTTATATATTTTTCAGTAGACATTTACATTTTTGTCTTGTTGAGTCTCTGAGATGATATTGTCAGCGCAGTAACTCTTACCCAGGAGAATATAGATAAGCTGTAAGTTGAATTCTTCTATTGTATTTCTTTCCTAGGTATCTCCCTGTCTCAGTGTTGTGTCCTGGCTGCTATTCCTCAATGACATAGATGTTCTGGCTGATGCCTGCTGGGCTTTGTCATATTTATCAGATGGGCCCAATGATAAAATCCAAGCAGTAATAGACTCGGGAGTTTGCAGAAGATTAGTGGAACTATTGATGCAAGTTACTTTTTAACTATTTTGATTATAATTCTTTGACTAGGAATGTATTTCTTTATGCCTTTCTATTGTACAATCATACTCCTGATTTTGAACTGTTTAATTAGATGAAAAATCACTCTTTACTGATGCTTTTTTTTTTGATAGAAACCGGTTTCCTTCCAATGTTTTCCCTTTTCAGTTTCTGAAGGTAGTGGCTCTGCTGGGTTCAATTCTGCACGCTCTGGTAGCCTGCTTGTAGTTACTGCTTTGTTTTTTAAGTCTGTGCCTGGATCAGTGAAGTTTGACATGCACTAATCCTTTTTGCAAAGTGAGTCAAATAAATGTACTGCCTTATACTGTTCAAATGACCTACAAATAAAATGTGTTTTAGCTCCATGTAAAAGTAACTGCTTTCGTGGATCGGATTCTAGAAGCTTAAGCTTTTCCTTTGGCAACAAAATAATTAAGCCAAACCTTGCATTTATGTACGAAAGCCAAGTACCACAGATGCTGGATTTCTAGAATTAAAAAAAATGCTGGAAATACTGAAGTGGCTAGGGGCAGCATCTGTTGAGAGAAACAGTTAACATTTTCAGGGTTAGAACTTTTCATTATGACCTGAAACATCAGAACTAATAACCTTTTAAATTAACTCTGTTTCTCTATGTACGTTTTGTAAGCAGCCTGTTCAGACATGTTATGATGTCTCTCGAGCAGGTGGGACTTCAACCCAGGTTTTCTGGTCCAGAAATAGGGACACTGCCACTATGCCACAAGAGCCCTCTTCATATTTGCATATTTTGCCATAGTGCAGCTTTCAGGATGTTACAAACAGTTAGTTAGCGTTCAATTAGTTGCTTTTGTTCAGTACAGTCATTTAGTTGTGAGTAAGTGCAACAGCTAATTTGCATACAGCAAGGTGTTAGAAATAACTACTGGACTGATGAGCAGTTAATTTGAATTTGTTAATAGTTATGGGAGGAATGTTGGCTGGATACAGGGAGAACTATCTGCTTTTCTTCAAATCTCAAACTTTCATGTACACCTAAACTATTGAAACAGACAGGGGGATTCTTGGTTTATCTGAGAAACGCCTTAGTCAATCCAGTCCTTCCTCAGTGTTGCAATAAAGTGTCTGTCTTTAAATGCTCAAGTTCTGTCTTGTGCTTAAACATGTATCATGGAGTATGTTTCAGTTGATCTGAAGTAACATTTTGGCAATCTAGAAGACTTTGAATTCATTAATAATGAGTAACTAGGCCTCACTTGGGCTGGACTTGATAACGGTAGAATATACATAGTTTCCCTGTGGTATTAATCATATGTGCAGTAGTATGGGTAACTCTCATTGTCCCATCCAATAAATAGGACCGTGTGAAAGATAAAAAGTGGCCCAGTGTTGCTCATGTCAGTGCAGACTAGCATTCGGTTGCATTTTAAATGCCCTTGACAGAATATTTTAAATGTCTGTTGCCCTTTATGCCTTTAGATTTTTTTCTAATATTCACTTCAAATGATTTTATATTAATTTTAAGTTGCGTCTGCTCATGTAAATCACCCTTCAGTCAAATTCTGAGTTTAACATAATTTGTACTACTGAATACTCCAGTTGAGATCCAAGCCTTTTTGCTCATTGCAGAGGTAAGCTATGTTATAACTTGTGTGGTTCTTTTCCTCAAATTCTTAACGGGCATTCACAACAGAATAGTTTCTGGAAGCAACCTGAGTTTCCTTTTAGCTGAAACATGCACCTTCGTGCTATGGCATTTAATGTAGGAGCATGAAGTACCAATGATCATTGGAGGTACCCTCCACATTCGTCTGTCTCGTCGGAATCATTAGGTACCATATGTTAGAATGATTTTGAAATGCAAGAATTGTTTCAAGTAAGACAATGGACCAGGAACAAAATAACTTACAATCATGATACTTAAACAGCAAAATGCTGCTTAACATCCCACAAGGCTTAAAAAAACTTTATTTTATAGAATACATTTATGTGACTAGGCTTTTGAATGAAACAATTGTGATGCATGAATGATGTAGTTTGTAAATTGCAAGGAGTCAAGGTGCCAATTTAGTACTGAACTAAAGAGCTTCAGCCAATACAATTTGGATACAGCCAATAATTTATGAAGAGCAAGGACACAGGAAACATATATCATTTCATTTATTGATACGTTACTGCTTAAGCACGTGAGACAAACCTTTTAACTTGTTGAATAGATAAGCCAAAAAAAACTCTATCCTGTTCCAAAGAGAAATGGACTTGATTTCTTTCTATTTTCAAGTTCAAACAAGAAAGGTGGCTCATTTTAACTCCAGTTTGGAAATACATTTACTCACAATGAATGCAGTCTGATTTAACAAGTCTCCCTGTTTTACACCACTTCTCCTCATCTCAGTGGTGCAGAAAATTTGTTGATTTTAATCTAGATTGCATGCCATCAGATATGGACATTGTTGCAACTGTCAAGTTTGCATTTCAGTAATAGCTACCTGCTATTTGTCGTATGACTGTCTTGTTGAAGCAAATACACCTATCCAGAAATCGGTGCTCCCAGCTAGTGATTTGCTCTGTTTACTGCTTGTGTAGGCAAGGTAATTAAGTCAATCTGAGTGTTTGTTTGAACAGTGAATCAATCTGTTAATTTTTAGTGACCAAAAAAAATCTCATTTCTGTTTTTCATTTGTATATATGGTATCACTTTTAAAGGGTTCCAACTTCCTCCCTAATCATGCTTAGAATATTTAAAATGTTCAATATTACACTTGCGTCCATTTTCCAGTCTTCTATCTGCATGTTAAATTTTGGGAGTTCATCATTGCAGCTAAAGGAGGCAATCAATCATTTGTAAACAATTTTCAGATTATTAAGTTTCAAGCTTTTCAAGAAGTAACAGCACAGGTATAATGTGTTAGTCAATTAGACAGTATATAATGGTAACAATTTAAGGATGGTTCAGGTTAACAGAAAACAAACAAGCTGTTGGTGTGGAATGTGTCAGTCTTATTAAAGTTGTGAAGGCAGCATCCTCCTGTAGCCAAAGTGTTAGAGAACTCTTCCCTGGGTCTTCATCCTTCAACTGGTCCATCTTGCATTTGGAGAAGACAGTTCCCTGATGAGGACTGTCGTCTGCCATTTCAACAAGTGTACAATTGTATACATCTATAGGGCTGGTAACTTGTGTGTCAATCGCTTGTTTAAATCCTTTTGGTTAATGAGCATGGTGCAGCTACCTGTGACATCTGGATGACTATTGTCCACTTTCCCACCTCCTTTTGAAGGTTCCTTTTAACACCAAGGGATGCTGTTTCCCCAAAGCTTGGATTACTAATAGGGTAGAGTGGTGCTCAATATATCTTATGACTTTTCCTTTGCTAGAGATCGGTTTGTTTGTTGCATAGGAAATGCTAAATATGGGATACTAAAAGAATTCCACTTTAAAGGGGATCCCAATTTGCAATTTGTGCCTCATAACAATTAAACTTGTTCTGATATTTGTCTATATTCCATTTCCCAGTAGTGTATCCCTTAGGAAAGCCAGTGACAAGTTTGTATAAATAACCTTTATTTATAGGTTAATACAATATAATTAATGATCAATCAGTGTGTCAATATGCAAGCGCAACTTTGGCTCTAAAATTTTTAGGTTTGGTAATTTTTCTCCGTGTGTTTTTCTGACAGGCACTGTGACTATAAGGTGATATCACCAGCTTTACGTGCAGTAGGGAACATTGTAACAGGCGATGACATACAAACTCAGGTATGTGGAGGACAGTAAAATGAGCAAACATCAATGAAATATGGCATAGGGATAATTTGCACTTGTTTTTTATACAAAAACTAAGCAGCATGATGAGGGGTATAATTGTATCAATGAACATAACATCTTAATTGCATGAAATTAGTAAACAAATATTTTTATAGCACCTCTTGCACAAAGATGTTTCAGAGATAGTGACAGATGTAATCGGTTATAATTTCTTTGAATCTTTGAATTAACACTCAAATGCCTTTCAAACTTCATTGCTATTCAAACAATCAATCAGAATTTGAGTGCATCAGTATAGTGGGATGTAGATACTTAATAAGATGGGATACAACATGACTTGTTTTACAGCGAAAGCTCACATCTCTGACAGGTGAAAGTGCCAGTCTGGATCAGGGCAAAAGTGCTGGCATTTAGAACAAGTCTCTCCTTTTTCTATTTCACTTCTCAGCACTCAAATTTTTTTCAATGATGTGAGCCACTCAGGACTGTTTGGAGTCAGAATTCAGAGTGCTTCTCCATTGTCCACTGCTCTGAACCCTCCCAAGTCTCTTTCTTTTATATGCCTTTTCAAGGGTCAATATGTGGATGATTTATTGACCCTTATGGGCCTTAAAAAAAAGTTTACTTTATTTCAAGCTGCCCTTTCAGGAGTTGAGTTCTTTGTCTAAGCTTTGAAAAATCCCACCTTTTTAATATATTCAATGCCATTAGCTTTTGGAGATTTTGCACATACTTTTCTGGCCTAAATCAATTCATCTTACCACCATTTTATTTCACCTTATCTCGCTTTCCTACTTGACCTCATTAACAGATCATCTTCAGCCTCAAACTAATTCCCAGAAATTTCATTTGTCCTGTTCCATTATCAATTATATATGTCTGAGGCTCAAGACTAGCTAACAAGCTCTTCATAATAGCTATTCAGTTCAGCAGTTCTTTTTCCTTTATTAAAGGTGGTGTGTTCACTTCAATAAGTCCTATTCTACATTTAAGATTAATGAACTAACCTACTTCAGCAAGCATCTTGATTAAGCAAAGTTAACTGGAAAAAGCCTGCACAGTTCTGTACTATGATTAAGTATAGTACCAGTTGCTTTGCCATGAGGCTTTGTCTATCAGTAGAGCCCTTATTAACATAGCCAACATCACCTAAAACTAGTTACCTGTTAGCCTTGTTTCTAAAGAAGTGAAACCTTAAGCAGTTTCAAGTAACTAGAAACTTGGGCAAAGGAATACGCTAGTGTTCTATTTCAAGATGATTTGATATATACCAAACATGTTTTGTAATGTCTAATATGGATTTCAATCTGGGCAAAAGTGTTGCAAAAAAGGTTTTCATTTGAAAATAAGAAAGAGGCCTGGGATATAGTGGCTTAAAGAGTGATTGCTGGTACTGAGATATAAAATGGGAAAGAAGTAGTACAGGGCGTTATGTGGGATAAGTATGTCCTGAAGATTCAGTGGAATGTCAGTATACTTGAGCCCAGCTTTACAGTGCCTAGCAATGTTGTATTTTGCACACTGCAAAGTCAGTCTCCTTTTTAGATCTTCAATCACCTTGTTCTAGCATGCCTTGGACTGAGATCAACATCCAATCTCCAAACTTGCTTTCTCTATGTTCATGCATACCTAAACCATTTGTATTGACTTAAGTAGCATTTTACATGAATATCTAATCATTCTTTTTTGTTTTTGTCTCCCAGGTAATTTTAAATTGCTCTGCTTTACAGAGTTTATTGCACTTATTGAGCAGCCCTAAAGAATCGATCAAAAAGGAAGCATGTTGGACCATATCCAATATTACAGCAGGCAACAGAGCACAGATACAGGTATGCTTCAAGTTGTGGCATGTATCAATTACTAAACTGTTTTTCTCTCAAGTAGCAGAATGTGTCAACTGCAGACCATTGTGGAGTTTAATCAGTTAATAGGGTGTCATTTATAGAGTCCTACAGCATGGAAATACCCTTCAGTCCAACTCATCCACGCCGACCATGAATGCCAATCTGACCCAGTCCCACTTCCCAGTATTTGGTCCATATATCCCTCTCAACCCTTCCTATTCAGGTGCCTTTTAAATGTAATTGTACCTGCCTCCTCCACTTCCTCCGGCAGCTTGTTCCATGCACGTGCCACTCTCAGGTCCTTTTTTTAAATCTTTCCTCTCTCACCTTAAACCTATGTCCTCTGGTTTTGGACTGCCCCACCCTCTAGAAAAAGACCTTGGCTATTCACTGTATCCATGCTTCTCATGATTTTATAAACCAGTGAGGTCAGCCCTAGGCCTCTGCTCCAGGGGATAAAAGCCCCAGCCTATTTAGCCTGTCCCTATAACTCAGACCCTCCAGTCTCAGCAACATCCTGGTAAATCTTTTCTGAATCCTCTCATCCTTCCTATAGAAGGACGACCAGAATTCTATGCAACGTCTTGTGCTGCCACAGTATGACATCCCAATTCCTATACTCTATGTTCTAACCAAATAAAAGGCAGACATACCAAATGCTGCCTTCACCACCCTGTCTGCCTGCAACAAATGGTGGCCTTCTAGGGTTTAAAATATTGTATTTCCATAGGAGAGCCAAGTTTTATAATTCTACTGATTGAGTAATACTTTTTAAAAACATTTTAACTTTTTGTCCATGACATTTGCAGGCTGCGATAGATGCCGATATCTTTCCTGTCCTAATAACTATTCTACAAACGGCAGAATTCCGGACAAGGAAAGAAGCTGCTTGGGCCATTACCAATGCGACTTCTGGTGGAACTCCTGAACAGATCAAGTAAGACTTTCTTCTGAATAGGATCTTTGATTTTGATTTTGTTTATGGATGGACATGCAGTCTAGTATTTCAACGTTTTTTTTTTTAATTTCTTCATTAATTTGCCAGACCACCTGTCCAATTTTTACATGGTCCATTCTTGTGGTCCCATCTGTTTGGCATGGGGTAGTCACTGCTTTTTTTGTACTGCATATGCTTTTCCCATTACTTTATATACCGACTTTTAGTTTGTTCCTCTGCTACAGTTGAGGCTTACTGTTTTTCTTCACTTGCACGTTTCTTTTTCAGCTCAGCTGTTTAGGGCCTTATGCTTTGAAGATTCAATTATATTTGGAGTCACCTATTGGGTTAACATTTGACTCCAGGACAGTACTTTTTAATGGGTATCCTAGTTCTGCTCCCAAGTTTTGGCAATGCCTGACCTAGATTTGGAGACTAAAGGTGTAATGAGAGGAAGAGATGAACAAGTATGATTAAGCAGACCAAGTATCTGAAACTGAAAAAGTAAATGGAGATGCAATGTGTGACAAAGGAAGAGACCAATAATAGATATATTTCATTTGAAACAAAAGTAGTTTTTTTTTTTTTTTTTTTTTTGAAGAGGTGAATACAAATAGACACTTATATATTTACAATTTCTAAATATTCCTTTTCAGTGTAGTGATTGTTGTTTTTCGATTTGTTCTTTGAATGCTGGCATCGTGTTAGGCCTGCATTTATTGGTCATCCCAATTGTCCTTGATGGTGATGGTGAGCTGTTGTTTTGAACTGCTGTGGCCCGGGGGGAAGATACACCCACAGTGCTGTTTGGAAGAGTATTCCAGGATTTTAACTCTGCAATAATGAAAACTTGGAAATAATAAATTTCCATTCCGCGATGAAGTTTGGCTTTGAGGTGAGCTTGCAGGTGGTGTTCCCATGTGCTTGCTGCCTTTGTCCTTTTTGGTTGCAGAGGTCATGGGTTTGAAAGGTGTTATCGAGGAGCCTTGGTGAGTTGCTGCAGTGCATCTTGTAGATCAGTATTTCCCAACCTGTGGGACACGTTCCAACTGAGACTCCCAAGAACTAGTATTCTTGCTATTGAAATGTAACAATAGTCATTGTCATACAGCTTGGAAACAGTTCTTACGGTCCAACCATGTTCTCAATCTAAACCAGTCCCACCTGCCTGCACTTAGCCTATATCCCTCCAAGTATTTCCGATTCATGAATTTATCCAAATGTCTTTTAAACATTGTAACTGTATCTGCATTTACACCTTTCTCTAGCAGTTATTCCACACAAGAACCACACAGTAAAAAAGGTGCCCCTCATCCTTTTTTTAAAATCTGTCTCCTCTCAGTTTTGAAATATGCCTCCTAGTTTTGAACTCCCCTACCCTAGGGAAACGATCCTTACTATTCATGTCTATGCCTGTCAGATGTTATAAACCTCTAAGATCGCTCCTCAACCTCTTATGCTCCAGTGAAAAAGTTCCCAGTCTATACAGTCTCTCCCTAGAGCTCAAACCGTCCATTCCTGGCAACATCCTGGTAAATATCTTCTGAACCCTCTCCAATTTAATAATACCCTTCCTATCGCAGAGCGAACAGAACTGCATACAGTACTCCAAAAGTGGCCTCTCAAACGTCCTGTACAACCTGAAAATGACATCCCAACTCCTATACTCAAAGCTCTGAGCAATGAAGGCAAGCGTGCTAAACACCTTTTTAACTACCACGTCTACCTATAACAAAAGTTTCAAAGAATTATGTACTTGAACTTTGTAGGTCTCTGTTCGACAATACTACCCAGGGCCCTACCATTAATTGTATAAATTTTGCTCTTGTTTATTTTACCAAAATGCAATACCTCACATTTATCCAAATTAGACTCCATCTGCTGCCACTCAGCACATTGGCCCAATTGATCAAGATCTCTTTGTAATCTTATATAACTTTCTTCAATTTTGGTATCATGTACAAACTTACCAACCATGCTTGCTATGTTCTCATCCAAATTGTTTATATAAATGGCAGACAAAAGTGGACCCAGTACAGATCCCTTTGGAATTCTGCTGGTCAAAGGCCTCCAAACAACCCCTCTGTATGCTTACGTTGTCTTACTAATGGCTAAATCGTTGTCTTTCTTTTTGTGTTTCCTTGTACAATTTAGCAATAAAACTTATTCTTGGCAAAATCATTGCATTTTTAATGTCCTTAATGTCCATTAATCACTAATATAATACTCGTGCATGGAAATGTAAAAATACCTTCATTGGAAAAGGTGAGGTTTTGTTTTCATCATGGTGAAGTTGCGGATTTTTGCCAAAATGTTGATTGTGTAAGATGCATGAAGTCGAATACTGCTTTTGCTCGGGCAGTATTTGTGTTCAAGGAAATTAATGCTGAAGGTAATGGATAGGGTGCCCATTAAAGGAGCTGTTTTGTCCTGGATAGTGTTGGGCTTCTTGAATACTGTTGGGACGGTACCCGTTCAAGCAAGCGGACTGCATTCCATCATATACCTGACATGTTTCTTGCAGGTGTTGGACAGGGTTTTTTGGGTTGGTTACTCCCCACAATTCCTAGTCACTGACCTGCTCACGTAGCCACAGAACTTGTATGGCAGGTTCAGTTTAGTTTCTGGTGAGTGGTAACACCAGGATGTTAGTGAGAATCAGTGATGCTAATTATATTGAATGTAAAGGGGAGATTGATAATCTTTTAAGAGAAAATCTTTGCCTCTGTGGTGTGAATGTTACTTGGCCACTTGTCAACCCAATTCTAGATACAAACCAGTTCTTGATGCTTGTAGATGAAGCTGTATCTGTCTGAGAAGCTGGAAATGTTACTGAACACTGCAGTCATCAGCAAACATCCCTCTTCTGTCTTCGTGATTGAGGGAAGATCATTGAATGAAGTAGCTGAAACAGCTCAATGTTAAGCTGAGGAACAATAGTGATGTCCTAGGGCTTTCATTGGCAGGGGGATTGAGTTTAAGAGCCCTGAGGTTATGCTGCAGCTCTACAAGACCCTGGTTAGACCACACTTGGAATATTGTGTTCAGTTCTGGTCGCCTCATTTACAGGAAGGATGTGGAAGCTTTAGAGAGGGTGCAGAGGAGATTTACCAGGATGCTGCCTGGACTGGAGGGCAGGTCTTGAGGAAAAGTTGAGGGAGCTAGGGCTTTTATCATTGGAGCAAAGAAGGATGAGAGGTGACTTGATAGAGGTGTACAAAATGATCAGAGGTATAGATAGAGTGGATACCCAGAGACTTTCTTCCTAAGATGGAAATGAGTATTCCGAGGGGACATAATTTTAAGGTGATTGGAGGAAAGTATAGGGGAGGTGTCAGAGGTAGGTTCTTCAGAGTGGTGGGCGTGTGGAATGCGCTGCCAGCCGTGGTAGTGGAGTCAGATTCGTTAGGGACATTCAAGCACTCTTGGATAGGCACATGGATGATAGTATAATTTAGGGTATGCAGGGTAGATTGATCTTGGGATAATAGGTTGGCACAACATGGTGCGCCGAAGGGCCTGTACTGTGCTGAACTGTTCTATATTCTGACTGTAATGATTATTGTTTGACCAGTAGCTCAAGATTCAATTTGAATGTCAGAAATATCGAGATGTTGACCCACCTCTGCCTCATCCTGAGGTCATCAGCATCAATTCAGTTCTCTGCGTGATATAAAGAAACAGCTGAAGTCATTGGACTCACCAAGGGCCATGGCTTCCAATATGGTTGTAGTACTGAAGGCGTGTTCTAAAACCAGCCTTGTTCCTAGGCAAGCTATCGCAGTCCAGCCATGACATTGCCATCTACCCAACGATATAAAAATTGTCCACGGATATCTTGTAGACAAAAAGTGGGACAAATCTTATCCAAACAATTATGCCCCATCAGTCATCAGTGAAGTGATGGAAAATGTCGTTGACGGTGTTATCAAGTGGTACTTCCTCCTGAGGAAGGGTCACTGGACCCAAAACATTAGCTCTGACTCTTCCTTCACAGATGCTGCCAGACCTGTTGGACTTTTCCAGCAACTTCTGTTTTTGTTCGTGATTTACATAATCTGCAGTTTTTTTCAGTTTTTATTTTGTACTTAATCAGCAATTTGGGCTCTAAGGTCCACTTAGCTCCAGAGTTTATTACAGTCTCAATTGCAACATACGCAATAGAGCTGAATTCCAGAAGTGAGAGAGGAAGCCTTTGACTAAATAAAGCATTTTGATAGAGCATTGTATCAATGAATCCTGACAAAATGAAGTTTGTGAGAATTGGAGTAGGTGGGATGAAACTACCCACTAATTGCAACCAAAAATGGTTGTTGGAGACCAATAATCTTAGTCCCAGTACATTGTAATAAGAGTTCGTCAGGGTAGTGTTGTAGGTCCTGCCGTCTTAAATGGTTTCATTTGTGACCTTTGCTCCATCATTGAGTCAGAAGGGTGAGATATTTATTGATTGAATAACGTTCAGTTCCATTGCCAACACCTCCGATAATGAAGCAATCTGTCTGCCTAGGTCTTACTGCAAGCAGTGTTCAGGTTTTGGCTGATAAATGGCAAATTAAATTTGTGCCAACACAATACTAAGCAATCGACATCTCAAACGAAAGAGAATCTAACCAATTCCCTTTGATATTTAAAGGCATTACTATCACTGAATCCCCAGACTTCAACATCCTGGGGTTACTTTTGACCAGAAAGTGAACTAGACCAACAATAGAAATACTGTGGCTATAAAAGCAGGTCAGCAGCTGGGAATTCTGCAGTGTGTAATTCGTAATTCCTAAGCCTATCCACCATCTACAAGCAAAGTTGGAAGTGTGACAGGATGCATGTTTTAACTGATGTTGCAACTGCACCCAATCTAAACGAGACACCATCCAGGTCAAAGAGGCCTGCTGATTGACTACCTATTCCGCCTTCAACATTCACTCCTTCCACCATTAGTGCAAAGTGGCAGCAGTATACACCATCTACAACACGCACTGCAGAAACTCACCTCACCTGCTGCAACAGTACCTTCCAAACATATGGTCTTTTCCAACTTGGAAAAACAAGGCTATCATAAACATTGAATCGCCACCTGTACATTTCCCTCTAATGATATGCCATTCAGTTTACAAGCTGTTCCTTCACTGTTCTGGAACGCACTTACTAAAGCAGTGGATGTACCTATAACATAAAGATGACAGTGGTTCTAGAAGGTAATTTGCCGCCTTGGGTGATAAATTCTGTCCTTGCCAATGATGCCCACATACCTGAATTATTGCTTTTAAAATGTAGCTGGTACAAACCATCCTTCAGAAACTAAGAATCAACAAATATTTTATAAATGTTGACTCAATCAAATACTTACAGATTCCATTGCATACCCATGTCTCAATTTATATCCGGTTAATTACACTCATGTGATTGTGTAAGTTTGTTCCTGTTTGTCGGAACAAAAACTGCATCAGACACACTTCAATAACTGAGTTTTGTTCTGATGGGAGCTGGAATTTAGACAATGCTCTGTATTTTTAGTCACATGTAAGGTAAGCAGAATCTTGCAATCCTGTCAAACAGTAGGCATAACCATTGAAATAAAATATTACAGCAAACCTTTTGTTAACTGGTACCTACGAGACGGAGTGTGCCGATTTGATCAAATCTTCCAGATAAATAGGAGTTATGCATAACCGTAGTCAACCCTGACCAGGCAAATGTTTGTGATATCGACATCCATCAAAAAAACTATGTAAAAACACATAGTAACTAATAGAAATGTAATGTAGGGGGTATACACATCACTCTTGTACTTTATTTACAGCATAAATACTCGGACATTGCCATAGAAACTTAGATGAGGAGGCCATTTGGCCCTTCAAGCCTGCTGCACCATTCTCCATGATCATGGCTGATTGTCCAATTCAATAGCCTAATCCTGCTTTCTCCCTATAACTTTTGATCGCATTTGCCCCAAGTACTACATCTAGCTGCCTCTTGAATACATTCAATGTTTTGGCATCAACTACTTTCTGCTGTAATGAATTCCACAGGCTCAACACTCTTTGGGTGAAGAAATGTCTCCTCATCTCCGTCTTAAATTGTCTACCCCAAATCCTCACTGTGACCCCTGGTTCTGGACACACCCACCATTGGGAACATCCTCCCTGCATCTACCCTGTCCAGTCCTGTTAGAATTTTATAAGTCTCTGAGATTCTCCCTATCCTATCCTCTGAACTTAGTTTAAAATATTCCAAACCTTAGTTGTGAAATGCAATCACTGTTTCCATTGAGGCATTCACCACAGCTAATTTACACCCAATAAGGTACTAAAAGATGTACAACAGTTAATCTGTTTTGATATTGATTATTGATCAGGGCATTGGAATAACTGCCTGAAAATCTTAACATCTATCTGGTCATCTAACAGGACTTAGTTTAGCATGCCACATGAAGAACAATATCTGATAATGCAACACTTTAAGTACTGCACTGAAATGTCAGCCTAGATTGTACACTTTTAAGCCTTGTAGGAAATATAATAGACAGCTAATGTAGGATTGTAATATGATAGCTGAAAGTTCTTGGGACTCGTCTGTGAATGCTTTCAAAATTTAGCCTGGACCTAGTTAAAGACCGTTTTTAGGTTCAAGCAGAGTCTGACCTTTGCTGCTTTTGTGAGGCTAGATTACAAGTGGGAATTAATGATTTAACATTGACCCATCTGTTGGTGATAACAATGGAGAGTCAACTAACAGAAGATGGGGGTTCTTGTGCAGTGATAGTATCCCTACATCAGGAGACCTAGGCTGGAGTCCTGCCTGCTCTAGGGGTCTGTAATAATATCTCTGAGCAGTTTGGCTAGGTAATACGAATGAACAGAAGATTTTTTTGAGTCTCGAGCTGTTTTCCCAGGAAATGTATGCTCTTGAGTATATGAAAGCATCGATATCGTGTACATGTTACATGACTCATTTATAAAGGAAATGTTTTATTGACTGCAGGCCTCTGGACTATGCATCCTAGTCATGAACCTGTAAATTTTTAACTATGAAACGTGTGACAATATTTTGCATGCGCCAGTCCAGTACTATGTTTTTGTGTCCCTTCTATAATCTTTCTCAGATATATAGTGGAATTGGGCTGCATTAAACCATTATGCGACTTGCTGACTGTTATGGATGCAAAGATCGTTCAAGTGTCATTGAATGGCTTGGAGAATATACTTAGACTGGGTGAGCAGGAAGCTAAACAAAACGGAACAGGAATAAATCCATATTGTGCACTAATAGAGGAGGCCTATGGTGAGTTGAGAATTAACCAGGTTCTTCTACGTTTAATTAACAGAAAATAAGTTGCATTAACACTTGTTTTTTGTGTAATTGCAGGAAGTGCATTCAAATGTTTTCTTAGGATTAAAAATATTCATTTGTGGATGGTACCCTGCACTCATATTAATGTAACTGAAAATACGTTTCTCACAAATAAGCATTATTAATGAATAGCTAGTTCTCTGTCTGTAAGTAACCAAATTTTAAATCCACTGAAATACATAAAATATGCTGAGCAACTTGCAATTGATTTTAGTTTGGTGTATTCTATCCAATTTCAATGAAAACTATGAAGTAGTACTTTTAACATAGAAACAGAAGATAGGAGAAGGCCATTTGGCCCTTTGAGCCTGCTCCACTATTCCTCATGATCATGGCTGATCATCCAACTCAATAGCCTGGTCCTGCTTTCTCCCCATAACCTTTGATCACATTCGCCCCAAGTGCTATATCTGTTGCCTCCTGAATACATTCAATGTTTTGGCATCAACTGTTTCCTGTAGTAATAAAGTCCACATACTCTCCACTCTCTCTCTCTTTTTTTGGTTGAAAAAATGTCTCCTCATCTCCGTCCTAAATGATCTATCCCAAATCCTCATACTGTGACCCCTGGTTCTGGACACACCCACCATTTGGGAACATCCTCCCTGCATGTAACCAGTCCAGTCCTGTTGAAATTTCATCTCTGTATGAGATTCTACCACTCCCCCCACCAAATCCCCTTTATCTGAACTGTAGCAAAAACAATCCCAACCTAGTCAAACTCTCCTCATACGTCAGACCCGCTATCCCCGGAATCAGCCTGGTAAGCCTTTGCTGCGCTCCCTCGAGACCAAGAGCGGCCTTCCTCAGAAAAGGAGACCAAAAGTGCGCACAGTATTCCAGGTGTGGTCTCACCCAAGGCCCTGTACAATTGCAACGACACATCCTTGCTATACTTAACATCTCGCAATGAAGGCCAACATACCATTTGCCTTCTTTACTGCCTGCTGCACCTGCATGCTTATCTTCAGCAACTGGTGCACAAGGAAGCCCAGGTCCTACACTCCCTTCACCAATTTACAGCCAATTTTGTTAATTAAATATGGCAGAGAAGCTTGGTGATCTTGTAGCAATAAGTGAGTAATTCAGGAAAACGTCTAAATACTGGCTGTTTCAATTGTCTATGCTGCTGTCTTGAAGCTAAAATGTATTTAACAAAAGTAGACTGGAATTAACTGTTCCATGTATATTTGCATACTTTTGTATATACTAATAAGAAGTTGAGTGGAGGAATATTTAAGACCCATGATGTTGGAGGTAGTATATTAACATGGAGAGAGGATTGGTTAACTGATAGAAAACAGAATTGGGATAAGGGTGACAGTTCAGGATAACAGCCTGTGTTTAGTGAGTGCCAGAGGGATCTTTTGGGACTACAATTACTTAAAATATATATTAATGGATGAGCAAGGTGAAGACACCAAAAAATAGGTGGGAAGGCAAATGGTGAGGTTGACAGTCTACAGAGGAATATAGACAGGTTAAGTGAGTGGGCAAAATGTTTGCAGATGGAGTACAATGTGAGAGAATGAGGTTATGCACTTTAGCAGGAAAAAATACTGAAATGGAGAAAGACCGTGGAAATCTACAGAATGGAGGGATTTGGAAGTTTTAGTCCATGAACTGTAAAAGGCTAGCGTCCAAGTTTGGGTAATAAGGCAAATGTTGACCTTTATTTCAAAGGGACTGGAGTATAAAGGTAGGGAGGTTTTGCTAAAACTGCACAAGGCACTAGTCAGAACACAGTTGGAATACTCAACAGTTTTGGGACTGTTATCTATGGAAAGATGTGCTGGCAGCAGAGGTATTTTGGAGAAGGTTAATACTGGGTATGGAGGCACTGTCTTATGAAAAGAGGTTGAGTAGGTTGGGCCTGTGTTCATTGGAATGTAGAATAATGAGAGGTAATCTTTTTGAAACTTCAGATTCTTTGGGGATTTGAATGGGTAGATGCAGAAAGGTTGTTTCCCCATGGTGGAAGAGCCTAAGGCTAGAGGGCATAATCTCCAAATATTGGAGTCACATTTAGGTCAGAGTTGAGTAGTTTGAGGGTCATGAATGTACTGTTGAGGCAGGGTTGTAGTAAATATATTTAAGGCTGAGACTGATTTCTAATCAGTAAGGTAATAAAGTTCCAGGGAAAATGCAGGAAAGGAGTTGAAGATTCAGATCAGCCATGATCACATTGAATGGTGGAACAGAATCGGTGAGCTGAATGGTCTATTTCTGCTTCTTGTTATGGTTTTCAAAATAGTAATAAAAAGCTCAGTATAGTTTTATCAAATTTAGTTTGTAATCTTGTTTACTTAAAGGTAACTAGACATTCACTAAAAATTGTTTCTTTTTTCGTGATGAGTCTATTTTCACTTCATTACAGTACCCCCCTAAACATACCACTGAATATTTTTAATCCAAAGAAAACTTTAATAATTACATTCTATTAAGTTGACTGTGCTGGTTTGTGAAACATTTCATTTTGGAATTATGCCAATGTATTTTGGTGGAAACTTGAACCATAACTTTGTAAAAGCTGCAATTTCAAGAAGAATTTGTTACAAGCTTCCCACTTGCATTCAAAACAGAAACTGTCTCAAGGCATTTAAAGGGAAGATCTTGACTTAAACCTTTTTTAAAACCTTCTGCAGGTTTGGATAAGATTGAATTCTTGCAGAGCCATGAAAACCAAGATGTTTATCAGAAAGCATTTGATCTAATAGAGCATTACTTTGGTACAGAAGAGGAGGAAGATGCCAACATTGTCCCTCAAGTCGATCTTAATCAGCAGCAATACATCTTCCAACCACATGAAGCTCAGATGGAGGGCTTCCAGCTGTAAGCACAATCGCAAAGAGGACTACTGACTCCACTTAAGACACACACACCTCTCCCAGGGCTGTTGGGACTGACAAGTTCTTTTGGGGTTGGTGGGGTGGGGGGGGGATCTGCACCTAACACCATGATAAATACGCACCTATACAGGTGAGCAATGCTGGGAAGAACTTGCTCAGTTAGCTGAATGGTTCTTATTAACAAAAGGTTGTATGTAGGTGTATAGAAAAGCACGTATTTACATACAGCACACTCTACAAAGCTACATTTGGGAACCACACAAAGTATATTATATATGAAGGTTGTATTCTTGTGTGTATAATAATATATGTACATAAACATTCAAATAGGGGTTAGGGCAAACTCAGCAAATTTGCACCACCTGACTCTTCCATCTTAAATAATTGTATCCTTTGCTGTGGCTCTGTTCTTTCTATTGTGATGTTTAATATTGCTGATTTTTTTTTTGTTTGTTTGTAAAAATCAAACTGGTGCAATATCAATGTAGGTTAACTGATGGACTGTCTACCCAGTAATGCCCTCCATTGAATGACGTTCATTTACATTTTCTATAGTTAATGACAAATCTATTAGAAATGGAGTTGTGATCATCCCTTATGGTAGTTTGAGGGGTGGCTGGGCTTGGTGGTTTGAATATGACTTCCTCCTGCTCAGTTTATCAATCTGACAAATCGCACCAGTGACAAGATCTACTGAACTAGTTAACTTTTACTTTGTGGTAATTCTAAGCATAATGTAAAAGATTTTTTTCTAGCTTCATTTTGAAATGTTCTTGTGAAAAGTAGACAAGATATCTGTGAAAATTGGAAGATTTTTGTTGGAATTGTGAAGCAGTGAAATTTAAGTTCATATGCATAAGGATCTGTGATTGATGGTGAATTATATTGCATCCATGAGAAAATTAGTAATTCAGCATTAGGAACTATCAGAACTATACTGGCAACATAACTTGAAATGGCTGGTATACAGCCAGTCATGGGGAGCCAGGGAGTAGAGGCTAATTCCTACAGCCCATTCTGATCTCTGTATAAATTTAAAATGTTCAGCGCACTGTGTATATTAGAACCAGAAATCATTTGCTTGTTGGTTCATGTTAATTAAAATCCTCTTGCCACCCAGGATTGTCATTCTGGGCAATATAACTGCTGTTCTTTACAGAGCAAGATTAAATTAAGAAACCCATCTGAGCTTTCCATACTATGGTGCTATCTTACTAGGTAGCCTAGTGATTTAGTGAGCACAAACGGGTGAGAAGTGAGAATGTAAGAAATGGCTCACACTGAAAAAACATGAACCATCTTGGCAGAATCTGAACATGAAGGCTCATCAAAATTAGGAGTCATGGTGTATCTTTGAAGAATGGTCACTTTACAAATCTTTCACTGCACAACAACAACATTCATCCCTTCAACTGGCTTTGTCATTTCAACCTTCTAATGACCAGCCAATGTTGATTATTGAGAGAATATTCAAATTGCTGTGTTGTAAGAAAAGGAAGTACTACTGGTTTCAGCTTGAGACCCAAAAGCTGGCAATGTTATGATTTCAGTGTCATGTCAGCGCACCTGTAAAGAAATGGGCTGGGTATTAACAATCAGTTCTTTTAGTTCCTTTGCTATTTCATGGTGGAGATATGGTTGGTTAGTACAGTGTTTGTGACCACACTCTCTTGATACTATGATTAATACAGATCTCCTACTTGTACTTCATTGGTTCTTGTTCCCATTTCTTTTAGAGGTATACTTTGCACTGTTTAAGATTTAGTTGTATAAAGGATTGATGTCTGCTTTCAAAGACTCCTGAAAATCTTAGTTCTGATCAATACCTGAAACCAATTATCTTCTCCCACAAGGTATTGCTGTGTTGTACATGCTCCATGACTTTAAATGCATTTGACAATTTGCTATCCAGGCTTTTATCAGTTATGGAAACACAAATGTGACTGGTAGTTGTTCTGCTCCCTTATTTTGGGCCAATATTTGTAAGCTGGTCACATGATACCATACTCTTACAAGACATGAGTTTGAATTGGTGACAGTTCAAGCTCTCTACTGCTGTGTACAACTTTTAGCATTTGAGGCAGAGATGACTAAAATGGCACTGGTAAAAGTTGACTTAGATTTCGTGTTAAGTGAGACCTGAGATTTGGGTAGCGAGTTCATTAATATCCTAGAAAACAAAAGTTAAAGCATTATTGATAATGGCAGAATTTCAATAAGTATTTATGACTCTACCACACAATACTGCAGTGAGAGCAAATGCTTTTTTTTTAAATACTCAATTTTGCATTTCCAAAATGGTTGCCATATTTCAAAGTACAGCATTCTTTAGAAGTATGATTTTAAACAAAACCATATGTAGATTTTTCCCATTAAGTATAAATTGGTAGTAAGAATATTTCAGTCATTCTTCATGAAAGGACAAACAAATTGAAATACTGTATGTTTACACTATATTCCTAAAAGAACTCTTAACTTTCTAAATATAGTTTGTATTTAAATATGGTAACGCTCATGAGTGATGTTTGAGTAAGTGTGGTGGAGTGAATGGAAGCGTTAAATGGGTTGGAGGGGCAGGATTGTCAACAAACTTAAAAATTATCCAAATACTTCTGGCCAGCTATTTTGGTTTAGTTTAAGCTCTTTGTAACATTTTAATGCCATCATTGATTGTGCTGTTACTTTGGAATTGCAACTCTATTTGGATTGACCTTAATGAAGAGTTTCATTGTGCCTTGAATAAGTTTGAAAGGCTATTAATCATTTTGTTAACATTTTTGGCACTGTGTTTCAACAGTGTGCATTTCTTCAGCTTTTGTTTCTAGCTGTGTGAAATTCTCATTCAATTTGTGTCTGTAGGACTCCAGTATTGGCACTGTTAGCCTCTTCCATCTCTTTAGAGCCAACTTCCTTGGCTAAATTAATGATTTTACATTAAACACTGGGGACAACATTGTGAAATGCTTTGAAATTGATGCATTCAAACATGCTTTTTGCCACATACTTTTCATACATGCTACCAGAACACCATTCCATAAATCAACAATATTACCATTAATCCTTGGGGAATTTTTGCATTACCATAAATTCCTTGATTGTTGGTCTGTGTTCACTATCTGCTTCCTTGATGAGGTAGAAGAAGTGACAAATAATATGGTAGGTGAACAACCATAACGCTTTCTGATAAGCCATCAGAATTGGTTGAATGACCTACCTAAGATGAGCAATATTCCTTGTAAATGGGAATGGAATATAGAGAGAACCATTCATGTAATATTGTCTTGGTTATCCAGATTCTTTTATTTGATTGAAAAATAACATGTAGATGGTCTTTAGAATAGCCCATGTCTCTGTGGCACATCACTAGAGTTCCCACCAAGCAGATGAGTTCAGTGATATCCAGTAGTTTCAAAACTTGATGCAGTCTTTACTTCTAGGAAAATTATATTTTCTTCATGGCATATGTTTCTAATAAATCCCTGTTGCAGCAATATTGAGGACTTGTTTCAGAAATTGCCTTTGGTAAATATCTTCAAATAGGCAAGGAATTTTCAGCTACAGTATCAGAACTAGTTGCCTCACCTATCTCTGTTTTGCAAATTGAATTACCTTTTTAACAAAATCCAAACCAACCACCACTAGCACTAAAACCTTCTGACTGAACTCTCATTCTGTCCATTGTTTTAGATTATTATGAAGCTTTTGGTTTTTGATTCACTGACGCACGTACAAAGGTGCATTGCATTGATTTTTGGTTCTTTACCAAGCTACGCAAGAGTCTTTCCACATTTTTCACGATGCTGTTTTCTAGGTACAACTTAACTTGGTAGCATTTACAGATGTGATTTATGTACTTCGATTTTTGTTGGCATTATCAGAAATCATTCTTGGCACCAAAAGAGATAATCTGAGTGCTTTCTCAGTAGCAACTGCATATCCTCCAGCATCAACATGCTTAAATCTCTAATTTGTAAAGTAATGGCTTTTCTTGTTCTCTTACTACCAAACTGTCAGTTATTGGTATAAGAGATTGTTATATTTTAATTGGAATTTAATGATTTAATCACGTTTCAAACAACAAAATATTGTGTGGGGACTAATACTGAGGAGCAGTGCTGGGAATGCTGTATCATGATGCAACTGTTCATTAAAATATGCCACAAAGTAGTTCACTGTGACCCGCTTGTAAATGACATAGACAAAGGATATGTTTAATTTTGTATTAGTTTGTAGTGTTAATACTGTGGTTCGTATTTGTATAGCTTGGCTGGAGGAAAGTGCAGCAACAGAGCCCTGAACAAATATTGTGCATCTTATTCAGTTCCAATTTTTGTTTATGATGTTTGGACATAGTATTGTGAGTGGTGCAGTCCAATCTTAAATATTGTATTACCAATTGGATTTAATGGAAAAAACAGCAAAAGGAAATGCTGTTTAATTGGTCTTTATCAAGTGGCCAACAGCATTTCAGCACTTACTAGATTAGAGTATTTTGGCTTTCAATTTGCAAATTTTGTTCTAAAAATAATTTAGTTTCTTTTGTAAACTTTGGTTTTTGAAACCACATTTTTTTATGTTGCACTCTGGGGATAATAGTCCTACAAGTCTGCCCGGAAAATCTATTTGTGATATTCTGTTTTATTTCTATGATTGACAGTGAAGCTAAAAGGACAGAGAAACTGATATTTGTCCAGACAATAGTTCTGCATTTTTTTTAAATGATGTGAAATGTTTGACAAAAATGACATTTTATAACAAGAGTTCGAAGGTTCCTTCAAGTAAATAACTTCTATTCTGATGCCCTGCACAATCCTTATTAAATGACGGTGATCCACGGTTTAAATTGTAACCTATTTGTCAATGAACTGTTCAATAGATGTCATAAATTGAATGTCAGCTATGTTCTCTAAACAACTCTGTTCAGGTTATCACTGAATAACTTTTTGAACAAAAAACAGAGCTGATGATAAATAAGGTATGATTGGTGTCAGCCATGGATAAATTGGTAGCATATTTGCTTCGGAATGTTAAGATTTGAGTTGAGTCACATTCTAGGACATGAGCTCAAAAATCAAGGCTGCTACTTTAGTGTAGTATTAAGAGTGTGCTGTGAGATAGTTTAACATATATGATCCAAAAGACTAAGGCCCTATTGGTCTTAAAAGTAGAGATAAAAGATCCCAAAAACACCATTTCCAAGAAGAGGTGGGAAAGGAGATTATACCTGGTGTCTTGGCCAAAATTTATCCTTCAATCAGCATCAAAAAAACAGATTGTCTGGTCATTATGAAACGACTGTTTGTGGCAGCTGGCTGTGTGCACATTGACCTGTAATACTACAACAGGAAGTATGCTTTAAAAGTACTACTAAAAAGAGCTTCAATATATTCAGTGGTTATGAAAGGCACTGTTTCAATGCAAGTTTTCATGAATTGTTTACATTTGAGCATTATTTTAGTTTGTCGTCATGCTTGGAAAATGTCTGCTAGAGCATTCATCGTAACAGGTCTGTGACAAGAATTCAGCAGGCTCAATGAGAACTTTTTGTTTTCTTCAAGCTATATTTACAAATACATCTTGTTTACAGGGATATGATTTCTCTTTGTCACTTGGGCTTTCTCCTTGCCAAATTTGATAGCTTATTAATACGTTTTGCACAAGTGTCAACCAGTTCAGCCCTTTTGCTCTCGGATTACGTAAGACAACATCCATTTGCCATATGGCAAGCAATGAACATTTAATAAAAAAAAAAAACTTTTTAGGATGTCTGAAATTTAAGTGTGAATTATTGAGATACTGTGAATTACATTCTGATAATCTGTTCTGCACGACCTAGCCTCCGCACTGCCCTTTATGCAGAATATTAGGAATATTTTAGATTCCATCCTACAACGAAAAGGATAGCTCCAGCTCTTCCATTTTTGCAGAGAACACGTTTGTTTCAACTTTTAGATTTAGATTTTTCTTTACACACATTTCTTCTGAAAAAGGGAAGCTTAGGTTCTAAAGATAACATGGGGGAGGCACAGGTGTTGTGGTAACGTCACTGGACTAGTAATGCAGAAGCCGGGCTAATGCTGTGAGGCCATGTTCAATTGCAACTGTAGTAGTTGGAGGCATTTAAAGCTAGTTTCTATAATGGGGCTATGAAGCCAATGTTTGTTTCTTTCTTTTTTTAAAAAAAAAAAAAAAAAAAAAATTTCCCCACTGTTGTCTTTATCCAGGCTGGCCTCTGTGAGACTTCAAGCCCATAGCAATTTCGTTATCTCTTGACTGAACTCTGTTCAGCAGGCAACCATCGCTGATCTTGCCAGCGATGCCTACGTTCCATGAAAGAATTCTTTTTTTCAAGAGAAGGATATTAAAGAATTTAAGTGTCTAACAGACCCTTAACTGGCTTTTTGACTATGTATACAACTGGTGTTCACAAGGCAAATAACCATTATCTAGTGTTTAATGCAATTCAATTTTCATGACCGGTTCCTTTCAAAAGTGCACTCTGTTCCATCGAAGGCAGCACATTTTGGGTAAAAGCTTTTCCTCATGTCATCACTGCCTATAAGTGATTTCTATATGAATATTAAATAAGGAAAGGCCATTCAGATTTAAGAACAAATCATGTTTAACTAACTTGAGCTTTTTTTTGAATTAGCAGAGAGGGTAAATGTAGTGTGTATAGCCTTCCAAAAGGCACTTGGCAAAATGCTATGTAACCGGCTTGTCAGCAAATTTGGATCCTGCTGAACAAAACAGGCAGCATGGATGACAGATTGAGGAAACAGTCATGAATCGTTGTTTCTCATGCTGATGAAAAGATGCATAGTAGGGCTTCCTGTGGATAGATGTTGGGACCGTTTTATCTTGATGTGTATTTATGACTGAGATTTTGATCAGGGTACAATTTTAAGATTTATGAATGACTGAAGATTTGAAAGTATTGTGAACTAAGCAGGGATAGTGATTAGCTTAGAGGGCTTGGGCAGGTTGATGGAATATGCTGACAAGTAGCAGGTAGACTTTACTGTGAAGTGTAAAGTGATTGATAGAGTAAATATAAAATGATGGGTACAACTCTAAATGAGTTGCAGAAATTAAGAATGTTGGTAATGCATGTACATGATTTGAAGGTGGTAGAGAAAGTGATTAGCAAAGCAGTAGGAATCCTAGGCTTTACTAATTGCGGCATAGTATACAAAAGTAAGAAAGCTGTGAATCTGTGTAAAACACTGATTTGATCTCAACTGGAATGTTGTGTCCATTTCTGCTCACCATATTTTAGGAATAACGTGAACTTATCAGAGAAGATATAGAAAAGATTCATGAAAATGTTACCAGGGTGGTGAACTTCAGTTATACAGAAATTGAAAAACCTCTTCTTTTGAGAAGAGGAAATTGGATGCGTTTTCAGCACAATTGAGATTTTGACAGTAGAAGGGGGAAAGCTGTTCTATTTTCAGAAGTTTGAGAACCAAGGGATGTTAATTTAACCCGAATGGCAAAGGCAGTGATGACATGAGGAAAAGCTTTTACCCAACACTTGATTAGGATCTGGAATGCTTTGCCTTGCATTCTAGTGGAGACAGGTCTTTAAAGAGAATTGGATATTTAACCTGCAATTTCTTTTCCACTTTTGGACCAGGGACAAAATGGAAGAATGAGACTCGGTGAGTTGTTCTTGCAAAGAGCTGGCTCAAATGACCTGTACTGTCACCATTCTATTCAAATAACCCTAAGACCCCTTTAAAAATGGGGCTATTTGTTGTCATTGTATATGTATTATCAATACTTCAGCTGAAGTAGTGACTGTTAAGTTGTGCAATTGCATTAATCACACATTCAGCTTTCTTTACATACAATGAATTTTGCTAGAATTATGTTTAAAATTGATTATGTTTAAGATAACTAAAATAACTAGACCCGAAGAGTCTAGGCCCGAAACAACATCAGCTTTCCTGCTCCTTTGATGCTGCTTGGCCTGCTGTGTTCATCCAGTTCTACACCTTTGTTATCTATGTTTAAAATAACTCTGGTTAAGATAATGGAGACACTAAACTTTATTGACTTCTTATTTCCAGAGCGCTACCTTGACTGCTGGAAATTCACACTATGCAAGGGTTATGACAGCAAAGGACTGCAATCAGGTTCAGAAAGATTTGGGTGTACTGGGAAAGTGTCATTGATTGTCTGTTGTCATAAGGGTATCATATGCAGTGATCTGGGCTGTAAAAGATCAAAAAGAATTCTTGGTGTTTGAGTGCACGGATCACTCAGTTCATGAGAAGTGCAGTTAAAACTGTAGCTAAATTTAGCAGGATGTTGGATTGTACAAATTTCTTATAAATCAAAAGACAGTTTTGCTAAATATTTAGATGGGTCAAACTGCAACTGGGACACTGCTTGGTTTTCGTTTATTTTGTGGGTGATCTAGCCAGGTACGTAGTCAAGAGGTGAACTAATTTTTGACTTTTAAAACCTTGGCAAGTCAAGAACCACCATTAGTTTCCTTTTAGAGTAGGTTTCAAAGTCACCTGAAAATAAAAGGCTGGCTAATAACACTTAAGGTGTAGGAGCAGCATTAGACCAGTTGGCCCATCGGGTTTGTGCTGTCATTTGACCATAGCTGGTATATTTCTTAACCCTATGTTACTGACTTCTCCCTGTAACCCTTACTCCCCTTACCAATCAAGAACTTATCTATCTCTGTCTTAAAGACACTCAATGTCCTGATCTTCACAGCCTTGTCATAATTAGTACTACCGATTCACCACCTCTGACTAAATAAATTTCTCCTCATCTAAGGAGTCGAGCCTTCATTCTGAGTCTGTGCCCTTGGCTCCTAGTCTGTCTTTGTGGAAACATCTTCTCCACATTGAGCCTATCCAGACTGCTTAGTATTCTGTAAGTTTCAATAAATACTTGAATTTTCCTTCTAGACTCAAGTACAGACCCAAAGTTCTCAACCACTCCTTAATGACAAGCCCTTCATTATTGCGATCATTCTTTTAAACTCCTCTGCACACCCTCCAATGTCAGCATATGCTTCCTTAAGTACCAAAACTGCTCAATATTCCAAATGCAAGCTGACCAGTCTTTTACAGCCCAGCAGTATATCCCCGTTCTTGTCTTCTAGCCCTCAGTGAATGCTAACATTGCATTTGCCTTCCTAACTGCCAACTGAACTTGCATGTTAACCTTAAATTTCTGAATTAGGACTCCTAAGTCCCTTTCTGCTTCAGATTTTTGATGCCTTTTCCCATCTAGAAATTAGATTATGCCTCTCTTCTTCGTACCAAAGTGCATAACCCCTCACCTTTCCCACAGTCTTCCATCTATTGCTTCTTTACCCACTCTCTTGACCTATCCAAGCCCAAGGATCAGGTGAAGTTTCTTTCTTGCCCATCAATTTTATATGGATGTACCTTACATGAGGAACTTCTCAAGTGTGGGTCCACTGCACCTTCTGTGTAGGTGAGGTTTTAAGGAGGTTACTGCCCTGCATTTTTCCATTTTCCCACTTTCCCAGAACATTCTGCTTTTACCCACTGGTGATCCGTGACTAACAGTACAATGCCAAGCTCCTGCTTTGTCTGACCTCTTATCTTTCTGCCATGAGCCACTGAATTCAACATAAATTCTGTTCAGTTTTAAATAGTCTTATCATATAAATTGGATGATAAAATGTTATTTTGAGGCATTTGAAATGACTTAATACCATTCTCTCAATCCCTCGAGCTTCCTAGTTATTTAGGTGCCTTGTCAAAGATAGCAGATCCTGTGATACTGCAGAATCCATCAACTCAAAGTACCTGCAAAAGTAGATGCAGACAAAGCTGTGGCCAGTGCAAAGTGGGATTCTTTATGTACAAAACCTACTTGCAACTGGATTCCCTATAAACAGATGTCCATGGGGTAAGTGACAAGAACAACCCATACAATCCATCTCCAAGAAAACCAGTGATCATTAACTTTAAACATAGGGGATAAGAAGGAACTGAAATAAAATGGGTATGTTGAGCAGTTCCAAGCTTTTGTTAAAGGGAGAGCGCTGCTGCAAACAAAAATGATGTGTCTTCCAACTGATGGTTGTGGAACAGATTCCGTTGTAACTTTCAAAAGGGAATTGGATAAATGAGAGAAAATTACAGGGATTTGTATAGCCAGCTCAAATCTGGTGGGCTTCATACACCCCCCTCCACCTGTTCTGTGTTTCTGTTTAGTTCTAATTGGAGGTGATGAGTAGTCTGTTCAACTAAATATAATCACTGCTGTTTCTACAGTACTGCAACTTTGTTCCTAATATGTACAAACTAAATTAATCAGTAGTGACCCTGAAGCTGGATGCCAAGACAGGATGAACATTGATCATCCTGTACTTCATTGTTTCGTGAAGCCACCTTTACGTCTTGACAGAATTAATTGCTCACCATCAGGAAAAAATTTCACATTCAATAAAAGTTTTTACAATTGAACATTTTAACTGATTTCTTACACAGAAGTTTTTCAGGAGCAGTCAAAGGAATTTAACTTAAAATTTGGGCTTTGGTATATTAAAATCAGTAGCCCCTTACATAATCCTCAACAGTTGTATGGACATAAGAATTATAAACCACTTATTACATAGTCTTAAATTTGGTAGCACAACTTGTGAAATTCTGTGTTTTAAAATATTTTCTACAGTGAAAATTAAATTTGCATTTAATGGTATGATTGCGTAAAACCCAGTAAATTCTTCAAGTTTATTAGCATATGCACAATATAAATTTACTTAGTTTCCCCTATTAAAACGTGATTCCTTCACCCAACCCACTTGGTTAGACTTTCAACTACAGAAAGCTTTATACATTTCACTCCTGTCTCTACTGATTCCACAAATGATTAACTGGAAATACTGCTCTGATCAATCAAGTCTTTGATTATAAAATCAGTCACAGATGTCTAACAGTATTTTAAGAGATGACATTCAGTTCAAGAGTTGAATAAATATTTAATTTATCTCTATAAACTTGTCTAATACAGAATGAAACTATTATCAAACTGAAATGTATCACTAAAACTATTTTGTCAAAGCTTTTTGTCTTTAGCTTATCAAGACAGGTTTTTATATGCACTGTGTAAAGGGAAAACATTTCACCGTATGTGTGCTGATTAGTTAGCAAGTGGATAGTGGTAGGTGTTGCTATGGAAAATGCACAAGATAGATGATAACTGGCAGTTAACTACTAAGCTTTGTTCAAATTTTAAGCCAGGCTTGTTGACATTAGTTAAAGCATTATCCTGAAAATGCACCAAAGACAGTAGTTACCTATTTTGTTGAGCTGACAAGTGCAATGTGTGTAAGTGTTCTGTGTACAAAACAGAGTCAAGTATTAATATATAGCTTCTAATATAGGCAGCTATACTATAAATACAGTCTAAAACCCAAAATTGGTTGCTAGTGTAATTCTTAGCACAGTCAAGATCTTTAGATTTAATTCTATAATTGGACAATATTTAACAGTTGAGTTTTGGAAGTGTGGATGAGTTGGGTATGATCACTACTTGCCTATTGCAAACTGCTGAAGTGGTAAAATCCACCAGTCTTTGCGATATACAGCTTATGTACCTAGCATCACAATGGCACCACAGTCCACATTCTATATTATGCATTTTGTGATAGGAAGAACACATTTTTGACTCAGTGTGACAGTTTATTAATGACATCTCTCCAGCTGTAACTGTGCAGTAGCAAGATGAAACACTTGCTCATACCTTTTGAGATGCCCCAGGACCAAAGAGTTTGAGAGTTTGTGCAGTTTAGAGCTATTGCAATTCTGATCAGGGTAACCATTATGCCACAGGATAGCTTTGATCTTCTGTATTTCAGGATCAAGCTTGCACAGTGAAAGTTCAGGAATTGGCCAATCTAATCAGATGTTGAAGTGTAGGAATCTCAACACTATGATCAGTGGGGTAGGTGTGGCTGATAACCTCTTGTTTTGATCAGTGCAGGACAAAAAGCTTTGACAAAATGTCTCTTTCAGCAATACTCAAGTTCTGTACTTCCAAGCAACAATGATTATGGAAATTCTATAATTGTGATGTGGTATCTTGTAATTGCTAAAGGTGAAAAATAAAAAGCTTCAGAATTACCCCAAAAGGAGAAGCAACACTGCTGCTAAAAACATGTAAGAATTACAAAATTGAATAGGCAAGAAGGCTTAAGAGTGCAATGGGCAGAATCCCTGAACAGTAATTGCGAATCAAGGTGAGTTATTAGATATTATTTCCGTTTGTAATGAACTATTTTTGTAAAACCTGTTAATTTGTAATTCATTAAAAAAGCTAAAAAACTTCCTTTGCAAAGTTGTACAACCTGTTATACAAGGTAGTTCTAATCCAATGGACAGTTTGACAATTAGATTTACCTTTATGTACAGATGTTATAACAAGCTAAAACCCCTGTAGAAAGTGAGCTAGCGTAAATTGATGTTGACCAAAATGAAAGTAAGAGGTATAATGCAATTTTTTTTTTATTAAAATCAACATTGAGCACTGGAGCCTTCCAGTGCACACTTTCTACCAGACTCAATGAATTGTCTTATTCAGGGGCCAAATTGTTTGTTATTACTGTTAACAAAAACCAGACTTTGAGCAAGCCTGTTCATAAATATCCAAGATGTTTATTACAGGCAAAATTAGTCAAATTGCAAACAGTTTAGCAACAAAATCTACCATGCAAGTTAAATTGTAATCCCTTAATCTCTAACATATGCACTTAAGATAAAATGGAAACACTGCATACCACTGTGGGTCATGGCAGATTGACAGTTTGACCTCAATTCCTCTGATTTCCTATCAATAAGATCTGATTGCTGACCATTGTAGATTAGTGGAAAATCTTTGGAAAAAGTTGCAGATTCATCTGAGAAATATTGTCCTGAAACTCAGGTTTCTTAACTACTTCACTACTCTTAGCTTCAAGCTGTGACTTGTACTGAACAAGAGCCTGAGTGTCAACTGGAAAAAGAAACTACTTCAGTCCAAGGTCTGTTGCAAGGTGATGGCAATAGTTAGGCAGATCCATTAGGGTTGTCCAGGTCTATTTTCAACATTAAAGCAATACAACTCTTTACTCATAAAAGCTTCTGAAGTCACATTCTTAAAGAAAGAGCAGCAAGTAAATCAATTTCCTTTAACCTTTTAACATTCCAGTTCCAACAATGTGATAAATCCTTTTCAACCCAATAATTCATTTCAAGTTTCATACTCCATAAGCATATGCATTCCCATCAACTAGGATGAAAAAGAGATCACACTGAGATCCAAGGGCTAATCACTCCAACAAAGCACAGCAACTCTAACACTAGGTCTCTTGCACTTGTCAAGGGAGTCAGGCGAGTGAAAATAGTTTCTTGAACAGACAACAGCTCTAAGACTAAATGTAGCAAATTATTTCCACAATGTTAAACCATTTGAAGGGAATAAGATTACTAATTAACAGGTGAAATGTCAGTTTTATTTTCTGATCCAGAAAAATGTTAAAGCAGAAATAAACAACAGACACACTAATTAGTAACTTTAGCTACGTTGTAAAACCCAAGGAAAGATACATAAAAGATAACTAGCAAATACAGGGCATAGCACTTTACTAATTGCAATTACTTCCTTTTCAGAACTGTGATCATGTGCAGAATCTGGCTGTTGTGATGCTATAACTGTACCACACATGACTCTTCCATGTTAATTATTCAAATACAAGGAAAATAGATGGGGTAGTAATTCTAAGTTTGTAGCTACAATTATTTTCACTTTGTAACCAGTCTTGTTAGTTAGTCCAAATTAAATTAGGAGAAAACACTAACTTGAGGGCACAGTATTTTGTTGTCCTACTATGTATGTTGTGTTAATACAGCAAAAAAAAGTATCAAACTGGTTATCATCGAAAGTTTCAGTCCACATTGAATCATGGTCTTTTGGCATCCTCTGCTTCCTGCTGCTTCTCCTCTTTCCATCTGGCTTTTTTTGCCATGTTGATGGATGTCAAAGATTCATGTCTATTTGCAGCCTGCAGCCCAATATGGAAAGTGAAGTTAGTACACTCAGTTTTGGCTAGTGAATATATTCAGCCTTTGAAACATTCAATGTTCTATAGCATTTAATAGCCTCCTGTAGTATTGTCATTACTGTGATCTTGAGCCATATCCTGAAACTTAGCTTGAATTTTCAAGCATATACATATGTCAAAGTGAAGGACTTTGAAAGGGAAACACCATTTTTTCGCTTCTCGATCAAAACATGCTTATTACTGCATAATCTTTTACATTACACTCTGCCACAAACATTACCCATTTCAGACAAAGTATCAAATTCACTGATCTAAAGTTGCCATCCTGATCACTATTACCACATTAATGGCCACACAATGACAGCTGTTTCAAATCTCAAGCTTACACTTGTTATACATTAGCCTGTATTAAAAAATAGCTAAAGTTTTCAGCAAAAGAGCTAGGATCAATAACTTTTGCTCTGTTCTGAACACATGGCCACTGATTTGTCACACATTCACTGAATAGCTTCCTTCTGTGCTGTCAGTGTTCAGCCCACCATGTCGGTTTCACTCAGTTGGCTGGATAGCTAGTTTGTGATGCAGAGTGATGCCAGCAGCATGGGTTCAACTCCTGCACCAGCTGAAGTTACATGACAGATTCTTCTCCCCTGGCTTGAGGTGTGGTGACCCTCACATTAAAGTACCAGCAGGCATCTCTCTCTAATAACAGCATAGCTTTATGGCTTGATAAGCTATGGTAACTCTACCTTTAACTGCACTCTCCAAACTATCACCACTTCCCTGCACTTTTCCAACTGCATTTGATTATCTTGGTTAGATGTCTCACTGCCCTAACATGTGCTAGACTAGGAGGCTACAGCTTACAACTCTCCTTCTACTGGTGACCCACAACAGCTTAAAACTGAGCATTTGAGAGTTAAGTGACTGATTGGTCCATCACACAGCAGTGAATAACACTAGCTATGGTGGTGGCAGTAGCACAACCCAAAGAAGAGAGAAGGATTGGAGCAAGTCTAGAGAAACCATCACTCCCTTCCAGCCCAGTAACTATTATATTGGTCTGATGCTGAAATGCTACATGGATGGTGTTTCAAGACTTCAACAGAGCTGGAAGGTGGTGCCAATGGAAGCCAGCCCAGGTTTGGAGAAAACTTCTGCAAACCCCAAATGTTGAAGAAAAAGGTGTTGCAAAGTTCAGTTAATTTCCAGTTACTTGAAATAGTTGTCCAAAACATCTTTCCATCTCTGGCAATTGATATTGGACCTTGGAAAATTTTAATTTTGGGATATAGGCCAGCCACTGCTGGGAAAAGAGTCATTTTCATTTGGAACACTAACAAGGTTTGAATTAACCTACATTTAAAATGTAGCAAAATGGAAACATTGCTAATAAAATAGAACAATGTTACACAACAACTGGAGTATAGTATCTGATCAGTAACATAGTACACTGTAAAAAGTGAAGATGAAAGTTAATTTAGAAATTTAAAGAATACACAAGATTCTTGCAAAATATTTGGGCAGCAAACTAGTGTGGGGCAACAGCTAAATCCCACTTAACACTGCTTTAAATTTTAGTATCAGAAGTTATTAGGGTCTGTCATTAAGGATAATGTGACTGAGGCCCTTAAAATCTTCAAGTCAGACAAAATTTGAATAATAGATCATGCCTGGCAAACATCAATGAACTTTTTGAAGAGGTGACTAAAGTAGTGGTCAAGGCAAATGTCAATACATATGTTATATTCATGGACTTTCATAAGACATTAGCTGTGGCAAGAGTTCAACTACAAATAACAGGCAAGAACTCTAAGTAGCAAGATGATGTGACTAGTGGTGACTTGCAAAGGTCTCTATTGGGATCTCAATATGTACAACATATGATAAGCGTGCCATTTATCAACCAAAGAATTCCTTAAAGAAAACATATTAGAAGATGGAGACATTATCTTCTATATTTAAGAAGCGTGAAAATGAGAAAAAGTAACCCTCAAAACCAAAAATGTAGCCACACAGTCTGTGCTTGGAAAAAGATTTTTTGGTCCAACCAGTCCATGCCAACCATAATCCCAATCTAAACATTCCATCTCCCTGTGATTGGCCCATATCCCTCCAAACATTTCTTATTCATATACTTAGATAAATGTCTTTTAAACATTGTAACTGTACCCACATCCACTATTCCCTCCAGAAGATCATTCTGCACATGAAGAAACTAGTGTTTAAAAAAATTGCCCCCATGTCTTTTTTGACTCTTTCTTCTCACCTTAAAAATATACTCCTAGTCTTAATGCCCCATCCTACAAAAAGACACCTACATTCACCTTATCTATACCCCTCATGATTTTAAGCCTCTATAAAAGGTCATCCCTCACCCTCCTTTGCTCTAGTTAAAGTCCCAGCCTATCCAGGCTCTCCTTAATTCAAACCCTTCGTTTCCAGCAACATCCTGCTATATCTATTTTGAATCTTCTCCAACTTAATAGTGTCTTTACTAATAATTGGGTGACCAGAACTGGTCTCAATGTCCTGTACAACCGCAACATAATGTCCCAACTCCTGTACTCCATGGGCTAAGCAATGAAGGCAAGCGTGCTAAACCCCTTAACCACCTTATGTAAGTGATGCAAACTTTAAAGAATTATGTACTTGATCCACTAGGTCTCTTCTCGAACACTACCCAAGGCCCTATTTTTAATTGTACAAGTCTTACCTTTCTTCAGCCCATTGACCCAGCTGATTAAGATTTTTTTGTAATCTTAGATAAGCTTCTTCACTGGCCAATCTTGGTGTCATTCACAAATTTAATGATGCTTTCTATATTCTCATCTAAATCATTTATATAGATTATTTTCAGATTATAGAATCCACACAGGCCATTCGGCCCAACAAGTCCACAAAACCTCCGAGCATCCCACCCAGACCCATCCCCTGCCCTATCCCTCTATTTCCTTATGACTAACACATCTAACCTACATATCCTTGAACACAATGGGTGATTTAGCATGACCAGTCCACCTAACTGCACATCTTTAACCTGTAGGAGGAAACCCATGCAGACATGGGGAAAAATGTGCAAACTCCACACAGTCATCCAAAGGCTGGACCCAAGGGTCCCTGGTGCTGAGAGGCAGCAGTGCTAACCACTGAGCCACCGTGCCACCCATACAAATGGCAAAAGTGGACCCAGCACTGATCTCGGTGGAACACTGCCGGAAAAAACAACCCTCCACCATCTCCTGCCATTAAGCCAATTTTGTATCCAATTGGCAAGCTCACCTGAATTAGTTTACCATGGGGAACCTTGTCAAAGGCTTTAAAAAGTCCAAGTAAGCAATGTCAACTGCTCTGCCGTCAATCTTCTTGGTTACCTCCTCAATAAACTCAAGTTTGTGAAACACCATTTCCCCTTACACAAAACCACGCTGACTATCCCTAATCATTCTTTGCCTCTCCAAATGCATGTAAATCTTTAAAATCACTTCCAACAACTTACCCACCACCAAAGTCAGACTCGCAGGTCTATAGTTTCCAGGCTTCTCCTTACATCCCTTAACAAAGGCACAACACACGCCACTCTCCAGCCATTCGGCACATCACCCATATTTGTAGATGATACAAATACTTCTGCAGGGGGTTCTGCAATTTCCTCCCTAACTTCCCACAAAATCCTGGGATACACTAGATCAGGTCCCAGAGATTTATCCACCATTCCTCTTCTGTTATGTAAACGGTTTTCAAAACATCAGTATTTGTTTCCCCAAATTCTCTAGCTTCCATTTGATGTAAAATATTCATTTTAATATCTCTCCCATCTCAAGGTTCAACACAAAGATGACCTTGTTGACCTTTAAGGGGTCCTACTCTCTCTCTAGTGGTTCTCTTGCTCTTAACTGTACTAACAGATTCTATTTGGATTATCCTTAGACTTGGCAAGTAAGATTCTCATATCCTCTCTGCCTTCCTGATCTCCATTTTAACAATGCCCCTACACTCTTTATACCATTCAAGAGATTCATTTGAACTGTTGTCTATATCTAATGTGATTTTTTTTTTAAAACTCTGGACTAGAACCTCTCTTTATTCATCCATTGTTCTTTAATTCTACCAGCTTTACCTTTTACTAACAGAAACATAATGACGCTGAACTCATTATCACATTTTTGAAAACATCCCACTTATTAGACATCCCTTTACCTGCAAACAGTCTACTCCAATCAATTTTCGAAAGTTTTGTCTCATATCATTAAAATTTTAATTTTTAATGGAAGGCTTATCCTTTTCCACAACTATTTTAAAAACAACAAAATTATGATCACTAGACCCAAAGTGTTCCCCTACTATCACTTCAGTCATTTGCCCTGTCTTATTACCAAACAAAGTCAGGTTTTGCTCCATCTCTAGTAGGAATATTTACATGTGTTCAAGAAAATTTTAATAAATTCTTCACCATCCAAACCTTTAACACTATAGTAATTCCAGTCAATGTTTTGCAAATTAAAATCACCCATTACAATTTTATTCTTGTGTATATCTGAGATCTCACTACATTTGTTCCTCAATTTCCTTCTGACTATTGAGGGAAACATTGTACAATTCCAAAAGGGCTTTTTAATTTCTAATTTCATTTTTTGTTCTTAGTATTTTCACTGGACAATTTGTCAGTAATGTGTTTTCCTTAATCAAAAGCACTACTCTTCCTCCTCTTGCCTCTTTTTCTATCCTTCCTATTGCACCTAAAACCCAGCACATTAAGTTGCTAGCCCTGTCCATCCCTCAGCCACAATGTAATGGCTTCGAAGTTCCAGTCCCATGTTCCCAAACATGCTGAGTTCTTACCTGCAAGACCCCTTGCATTGAAATAAATGCAGTTTAATTCTTCAGAGGTACTTCATTCTCTGACTTGCTTGTATGTCTTTTCTAATTATTCTTTTTAGATTTAAAACCATCCTCATCTATCTTTCTATTTACTCTGCTACCAAGGATTCCCCCCCACCCCCAACAGTTTACTGTTTCCCTTATCAGAATTAGGGAATGTTCCTGCTAGGATATTGGTTCCTTCCCAGTACAGGCGAAACCCATCTTTTTTGCACAAAATAAGCCCTCAAAAAAAGAAAAAAAAAAGCCCTATTACATGTGAAGCTTAGGACTAGTCCAAGTACTTTAAACTTATTTGGATCTATTTTGAATTGTGAGAATAAATCTCAATCAACTGTTCACATCTTATATTATGATAATTTAAAAACTTATGACTAATCCAGATCACTTTTGAGGATCAAAACAAGTACAATTATCAGTTATGTCACTAACAGACAAGCTAGATCGAAGATAAAGAAAGTTAAAAGTTGAAAAAAAAACTGAACCTGGATTTATTCCAATTCTGAATCAGCTAGTAGGATTTCCCCTTACCTTCTTCCCAGAGATGATTGTCCCAATACAGGCTACAACCGTCACGACCACCATAATATAACTCGCTTTCACTCTCATTTTATTCCTTGCAGCATCAATCATCTCAAATCTGAAACAAATTACATAAATTTATCCATGTAAGTATCTGAAGTATCAATTAATGCTTATCTTATAGTGACATGTTTAAACTTTGGAGGCATTAGCAACCACTTCTTAACACAGGAAGCTGTTTTGTCAGAGTAGCTGAAGCAGAGAACAACACATCTTAAGAAAGAAAAAGTAGATAAAATTTTATGCATTGAAACAGAGGACTATATGGAGAATACAACACAAATGATGTAGTTCTATCCTTGAAACTTCCACAAATGTGATTTTTTTTAAAATTAAAACCGTACTCCTGTTTTTATATGCTGCAAAATGCTAATGTGTTGACAGATGTAATGCATTTAGGACCTCAATAAAATACATTATACATATCCCCTCTTAAAAGTTAACAGAAACAAGAGAACCTTATTGTCTTGAACAGGTAGAACCCATCTATGATATTCCATTTTTTTGTTTTTTTTTATTCAATTAACTATTTCTGGAGAGGAGAGAGGAGGAAGGTTGGAGTAACCCTGACAAGTTTCTAGTTTTTCATTAGGTCTCAATTGCAGTTTGCCAATTGACATGTGCAGCTTTAAAATGAATTATTTTTTAATATTATGAAGCAAAAAGGCTTTATGGATCATATGCAAGTGTTTTGGTAGTGCATATTACTTTACATTTTAATTAAATATCTGGCACCATACAAAATAATTAACATAAGAACTAAATTATTAGGCACTGGTAGAAAATTATATCACTAAATTTAAAACAGTAGAAGGTAGAGCTTAAAACGCTGGCAGCTCACTTTACTCACCTTACCCACCACATTTATAAAGCGGAAGTTGCATTTAACTAACTTGATGGGAGTTCTTTTGAAAAAGTAATGGAAAGGGTTGATGAGGCTAATGCTTACTACGTGGTAAAAATGAATTTTCAGGGGCATTTGATATAGTACCTCAGATTTTGAGTTAGGTTTAAATCATGTTACAAAAGCCACAAATGGTGAAATGGATACAAAATTGGCTCAGTGATAGAAAACAGAGTGTAATGGTCAATTTGTTTGGAGGGTATGTACTGGATCAGTAATGAGACCATTGTTTTTCCTGATATTAATGATTTGGATCTTGGGTGCAGGGGACAATTTACGTGCTTGCAGATGACATTAAACTTGGAAGAATTGTAAACTGTGAGGAGGATACGTGAAACTCCAAAAAGGACATTGACAAATTGGTGGTATGGGCAGTAGGTGGCAATTGAGATTCAATGCAGAGAAGTGTAGGGTGATATATTTTGGTTGGAAGAACACCAAAAGATGATATAAAACAGGTCGTACAATTCTACAATGCAAGACAGAGGCACCTGGGTATATTTTTGCACATATCCTGGGACTATACCACCTTGTTCTGGATCCCCTAGCTAGAGGGAACATTATCCTTGCATCCAGTCTGTTTAGCCTTGTCAGAATTTGATGTTGCCACTCATTCTTTGAAACTCCAGGGAATTCAGGCCCAGTCAACCCAATCTCTCTGAATAGGATAAACCTGCCATTCCCAGGAATCAACCTAGTGAGTCTTTACTGCTCTCTCTCCAAGGAGTTCTTAGTTATTTTCTTAAGCAAGGAGATAACCAAACTGCACATAATACTCATAGTAAGAACTGCTGATGCTGGAGTCAGAAATAACACACTGTGCTGCTGGAGGAACAGGAAAGCTGACGTTTTGGGTCGGGACCTTTCTCCAAAACGTCAGCTTTCCTGCTCCCCTGATGCTGCTTGGCCTGCTGTGTTCCTCCAGCGCCACACTGTATTAGCTACATAATACTCTGGGTGTGGTCTCACCAAGGTGCTGTACAGCTGCAGTAAGACTTCCCTCCTCTTCCATTCGAACCCTTTTGCAAAGACTAACCTTTTCCTTACTGCACTCGCAAGCTTGCTTCCACTGACTGGTACAAGGACACACAGGTCCCTTAGTAAATAAACATTTCCCAATCTGTTCCAATTTAAATGATACTACTTACATTGCTATTCACACTGAAGTGGTCAAATTCATGTTTATCCACATCATATTACTTCGGCCATGTATTCATTTAACCTGTCTAAAAATTGTCCTGAAGCCTCTCTACATCCTCCTTACCGGCAAGTTTTGTGCTGTCAAAAATCTTGGAAATACTACACTTTATTCCATCATCCAAACTGTTGATACATATTGTGAATAGATGTGGCCCCTAAGCACCGATACCTGTGGTATTCCATTTGTCACCACCTTCCACTCCAGAAAAGACCCAATTTTTCCTATTGTTTCCTGTCTGTTAACCAATTCTGTATCCATACCAGTATATTACCACCAATCCTGCGTGCTAAGATTTTGCACAGTAACCTAATATGGACTTTATCCAAAGATTTCTGAATATCCAAATACACCACAAATATCCCTTATCTATACTAGTTACGGCCTCGAAACTCCAGTAGGTTTGTCAATCACAAAATTATTTATCTTTCATAAATCCATGTTGACATTACTGGTAGTATCATATCTTTTATAATAGATTCAAGCATTTTCCCTACTGCTGTTAGGCTGACCAGTCAGTAATTACATTTTAAAAAACCAACAATCCCTCCACAATCTTTGGTCTTCAACAATTTTTTTCCCATGTCGGTCCACAATCAAAATTACTGCAAACTTTAAAAAAAAAGTCTTTACACTTGACATTGGATCAAAATCCTGGGATTTTAACAGCATTATGGGTATTCCTATGCCACATAGACTGCTGTCATAGAGGATGACTCACCACTTCTTTTTCACAGGCATGAGAGATTGTAATAAATGCTGGCGTTGCTAGCAGCTGTTACATTCCATGAACAAATAGAAAAGATGCTTACATAAAGTTGAAAAGTAATTTCTGTTGCAAGGGTGTGGCTGAATTTATACTGATTCACTGAAGGTATTTAGGAATAGGTATAAAGAGTTGAGCACCAATACACAAAAAACCCTCATATCTACAAAAGCTATATCACTAAAGCACTCACAAATCAGTCTCCAAATGCACAAAAAGGAAGAGACCCTCTCCAACACTGCTGCCCTCTCAAAGGCACTAAGCATTTGGATTATCTCTAATGTGAAGGAAATTCAAAGCTCTGTCAGTACCTCTGGCCTCTGCATTACACACAGTTAATATTTCTATTAGTTAGGGAGGATGCAGTTTGTGAAAATTTGGTGAGGAAGTGGAGTATGCAGTGAGGGAGTTGTCTTACATAAAGGAATGGCCTTTAATCTACATTACTGCAGCACAGTTGAGGCAGAAGTTCAGGATAGAAGTGAAAAGAATCTTACCACTAAACCAGAGATGGTGTGGGACACTTGGATTCTAACTGTTACAATGTTACTAATTACAGTCAAAATGTCAGTGATATATATAGGAATGAAAACAGTCACAGAGCAACATGTATTTCAACAGCAGCTTTAATGTAAAGCAAAACCTCCCAGAGCACCTGGAAAAACAAAAACAGATTGCATGCTGGACATTTATACTTAAATTTCTGTCTTCCCTGTGAGAAAGGCAACAGCAATATTATAACAGCTATATGAACAGAAACCAACATATGGAGCAAGTGGATTGGTAGGTATAGGAATGTTTTCATTCCATGGAATGAAAACATTCTAACTACAACTCCTGTAGTGGCTGACACAAGCAGATAAAAGCTTATAAAATTAATTTGCAACTGTTGACAAACAATCCAACTATTCTCAGTAACAAATAGTAAGAACACTTCAGTACCCAATATCTGCTCAAACCAGACCACAATACACAAACATCTTCGCTGTTGTCACCTTCATTTGTTTTCGGCTGTTACTGTTGCTTATAGTGAGGATAATGACAAAATAAAAATTGTTTACCAAGGAAGGTAGTATCAACACCCCAATTTAAAAAGTCACCAACCAATAGGATCCCATACCCGTTTCACCACTTACGAAACCGCAGCTGGTATATCCGCTTCTCGTTTGAATCGACCACTCCACACCAACATCTTTTTATCAAAACTGGAGGGTTTGTATCCTGGCAATTTGAAAGCTGGACGTCCTGAGGAAAAAGCCACAAAATACAACATATTTTCATGGGTCACAGGTCCCTTATAAACTAGCTTGCATTATACCAAACTTGTAGAATATAAAATGTCAGAAGTACAAGCTAGCTTTGGCTCAGCAGTATACTCTCAACTTGGAATCAGAAGGTTGTGGCCAAGTCCCGATACAGAAGTTTAAGCATGTAAGCTGTAGACTGACACTTCAGTTCTGAGGGAGTTCTGTCAGAAGAGACAACTTTGGCTCTCATTTTAACATTTTATTAAGTGTCCTCTCAGATGAATGCAAAAGCTTCCATGACACTATTCAAAGAGTAGCAGTGTCCTGTTCAGCAGTTATTTCTCAACCACTATCACCAAAATATGTTATTTTCTGGTAATCTCAATTCTATTTGTGGGACCTTACTATGTGCAAACTGAGAGGGCATTTACCAGGATGTTGCCAGGAATGGAGGTTGAGAGTTATGGGGAAAAAGGCTGGATAGGTTGATACTTTTTCACTGGAGTGTAGGAGGTGGAGGGGTGTGACCTTCCAGAGATTCATAAAATCATGAGGGGTATAGATAATGTGAATGACAGGTTCTTTTCCTTAGGGTGGGAGATTACAAGACTAGGGGGCATATTTGTAAAGGTTAGGAGAAAGATTAAAAAAAAAAGACACAAGGGGCAGCGTTTTTTAAAAAAAAATACGTGTGGTTCATGTCTGTGGAATGAACTTCCAGATGAATTGGTGGATGCAAGTACTGTTACAACATTTAAAAAACATTTGGATAAATACATGAATAAGAAATATTTGGAGGCAGATGGACCAAGCGCAGGCAGGTGGAACTAGCTTAGTTTGGGATAATGGTCAGCATGGACAGAAAGATCTGTTTCTGTGCTGTGTGACTCTATGATTGCAGTGGTTCCTATAACACTAACAACATATCAAAAATTCCTCATTGGGATATCACACAGTATGTTACAACCAAAGATAAGAAACACACAATATAAAAGTGAATCTTTCCTTCCTTCAGTATAGATGTTACAATTTCAAGCCGGACATAGATAGCTTTTTGGTTACTGTTCTTTCCCAATAGCTGACCCATGTCACTAACAATCAAGAGTTTACTTTCATAGCACAGTATAAGCATTATCATCTAGGGAATGAAGATCATACCTTTATTATATAGGTTGAACACTACAAACCTTACGTGTAACACCACTTGCGCATCTATCATCTGAAAACATTGGAGTCAAAAATTGCTGAGTCAAAATCCTGGAACTATTCCCTATTTACACTTTGTACACACCTACTTCACATTAACTTTCTCAGGGTAAATTAGGGATGTACAATAAATGTTCACCTTTCCAGAAATGCTCATACTCCGTGATTTTACCTCTGAGGTAAGGGTCCAGTACAAATTAGTAAACTTACGTTTTATACAACTGTGATCTATGAAACAAAAGCTACGTTCAATTTCATCTCATTTTCTTTTAGAATTCTCAGTAATATAATAAAAGGTGTGCCATGTTGACCAGGCTTAAGAACTTTGAAAAGAACTTCAGCTTTGTTTGTCATCCTTATCAGAAATGCTCAATCTGGGCTTGTTGAACTCTGTTCCTTTTCACTTAGCAAACTTTATCAATTGACCTTGAACATGTGTTACCTTCTTCTTTTGTATCTAAGCACTGGAAAATGAGTAATATTATTCTTGGGAGGGTGTGATGGCAATGTCGGAAGAGTGAGAGGTTGGGAAGGAGAGATTGAGAAAAGGGGAGGAAGGCGAGGTGGAAAGGAGGATTTCTAGAGAATTGTTGATTTGATTTATTTATTGTCATGTGTATTTTGTTAGAACATACAGTGAAAAGTATTGTATAGTGTCGCCACCCTCCGGCATCATCTTAAAACATAGATAAATAAATCAAGACATTGAATATAAAAGGCAGAAAAACAAAAAAAAAAAAAAATTTTTTTAAAAAAAAAAGTGTTCAACTTTTACAATTTTACTTGTTAAGTGCTCCACCATGGGCCTGCCTGCCAGGCATGAGTCTCCATCATGCAGCCCCCACTGGAATGAAAGTCATTACTCTTTGCTGCTATCTCACCTTCACCAACATCCTCACCAATGCAGACACTATAGGCCCAGCACTAGAACCGGCGGCATCAGCAGCAGGGGTGCATCATTGGGAACCCAAATTCACCTCCGCCACGAGTCGGCGCTAGGACCGTCTCAAAGCAGAAGCTGCCAGGAATCCAGTCATTTCCAATGTCAGAAGTCCGTGCTCACTCAATTTTTTTTAATTCATAGAATCCCTACAGTGTGGAAACAAGCTCCCTGGCCAGACAATCCCACCCACACCCATCCCCTACCCATTACCTGTAACCCACCTCCCTGCCTTTCCTACGGCTAACCCATCTAATCTACACATCCCTGAGCACTACAGGCAATTTAACATGGCCAATCCACCTAACCCGCACATCTTTGGACTGTGGGAGGAAACCAGAAACCCATGCGGACACAGGGAGAATGTGTGAACTCCACACACACAACTGCCCAAGGCTGTAATAGAACTTGGGTCCCTGGCACTATGAGGCAGTGGTGCTAACCATTGAGCCACCAGCTTCCCTAGTCTAGTTAAGTTTTTGATCAGTGCTAATGTTCAGAATATGGATTCAGTGATGGTAATGCTATTGAACTTCAAGGGTGGTGGTGGCGGGGATGGGGAGGAAAAGGGGGTCGTTATATTCTCTCGTTGCAGTGGCACTTGTGCATCACAATTGTGACTTGCTTCAGAATCTGAAGTCAGAAATGGCACTGAACATTGCATAAAATACTGCAGGTTCTGGAAATCTGAAACTCAGCAGGTCTGGCAGTATCTGCGGCGAGGGAAACGGAGTTAACGCTTCAAGTTTGTACGACTGCCTCTTCAGCTGAGGAAGTCATACCAGAGTCACACTTGTTTCTGACCCTCTGATGGAGAGAAAGTCATTTATGAAGCAGCTGAGATAGTAGGAACTGCAGATGCTGGAGAATCCGAGATAACAAGGTGTAGAGCTGGATGAACACAGCAGGCCAAGCAGCATCAGAGGAGGAGGGA